AATCCGAATCGCCTACAGGTACCCCGGTACCCATGTTTTTCAGGCTTTTAACGAAAACCGGTACGTACCGTTTTGTCATAGGGCCTTTGCAATCACTTTCCGGATGGGATTTAACAATTATTTTCAGTTTCCGAAAAAGCAGAATCCGACTGCTTATCCGGAGTTTCCAACTTTCCGAATGCAAATAATTATTTATTTATTCGGAATCATACCTTGGTCGGTAGAGAACTTAGAAGTATCCATAATCGGTGCATCTGCATGCGCATTTGCTGGCTTTAGATTAGGTAGATACTTTGGGTGCTTTCCAAAGGCTCGAGATCATCAGAAACGATGAAGCGTTGAAAGGTTGCTTCTTTCTGCGGATTTAGCAAGGTGCTTTGTCAAAGACATGCGGCGGAAGCGCACCCGTGGTGGGCCCAGGGATGGACGACCCTCACTATGCGCACGCGTATGTGGCGGATGATTTTGCCACTTACGCCCTCCCTGAATCCCCCTCGTCTTTGCATTCTTCGTTCAGTCACGATAGCACCGTGTTCATGCCCGCCCCCTTGCCCCCAAAACCGTCCCCCCGTCACCGAAACTTGAGCCTCGGCAAGCCTGGGTTTCCTGCTGCCCCCCAGAAGCAATGGCCTCCCCACGGTTTCAAGGCGCCCACGCTCCAAACGGCGGACCCAATGGACGAACTCTCGGACTCGATGTCCCCCGAGACAGACTGGCTCTCGCCCGCGTCGAGGAGCTCGAACATGGACGAGTACACGAATGTTCCGACTGGGAGGTGGGGCGGGAGATCAGCAACGGAAGGGGGGGTGAGGCAATGGCAGGGCAGCCCAAGGACTTCCCCCCGGGGCGAGAAAATGTCCCCGCGGACTTACAAGCTGCAGATGCAGGCGGCCGAGAGGTTTGAGGATGAGGCTAGGGGGAACCCCCTGGCGAGAGTTAATGAGGGGTATGTTTTGGGGTCCGATCAGGAAGTGCAGGCCAAGTGGCAGCGGTATCAGCAAGAAGAGCAGAAGAAGAGACGGCAGGCAGCGGAGGCGGGCAGGATTAGGGGTCAGGAAGAGGAGGCAGACGGCCAGGCACCGCGTGCAGAGTTTCGGCGCTATGCAAGACCGGCGGAGCGCACGTGGTACAGCCAAGGAATGGAGGTAAGTCCGCGCATTTTGGTAAGGAAAAGGTATCATGTTGTTCTTGGAACAATGCGTGGATCAAGGACTCTGGATAATGCCCCTTTTTGTGTTTCTTGGACTTTCTGCATGCTGTCAATGTGAGCAGAGTGCACAGAGTTCAGCTGCCAAAGAGAAGGCAGCTTGACAATGTGAATGTGCTTGTTTCCACTTTTTGCCGCTGAAATATGTTTGTTCCAAGCTTCCAAGCTCTACAGATGGCAGGACTTTCTTGCTTTTCTTCATTACATACTTTCTTCTGGGCTTTCTCAAATGAAGACTTGTTGCATTTCCGAAACGACCAAAATTGCTGCGTAGTGATGAGCATGCCAAGATTGTTCAAAGGAACCACATTCTCGTTCTCTATTTGTCATCATGAAAGGCCTCTGGAAAGTGAAATCAGCAGTTCGGAAACTCCCAAGAATCTTTTCTTTCTTTTCCTTTCCTGCTTTCTCTGGATGGGAAAGTCATCAGACTAGGAAGCACTCTAGAGTAGGATCTTTTGACTTACCGTACAGTGGCTTTATAAAACAAACACATGAACATCCTCTTTGAGTGGGTTGCTTGCTGTGCACTTATGCTCTGGTTGCTTGGCCCGATAAGACATCCTGATGTTTCAAATGGCTGGAAGTGCTGGATAGGGTGCCTTCACCAACTAACCTCTGGACTTCTGAGATGTTGCGATTCAGTTAAGTCTTGTGACTTGGTTTGTTTGAAAGTTGGCTGCGCTTTTCCCAGATTAGACGAACTATGTTTTCAATTGTTCGCTATCGTGCATTTTCATTAACGACCTCCACACCTAGATTATTTGACCAGTTCCGGAGCAGGCCAGCAATGTATATAGTTCTTGATCCTCTTTGCGTATGCTTGTTGAACCGGAGTTTAAGCAATATGGCTCTGTATAGGTATGTAGTGAGTTGAGACCACTCAAGGAGTTTCTATAATGCAGCCACTTGTATGTTGGAGGGGAGCAAAACGTTTCTCGGAGAATCTGGGTGCGCTGAGAGCTTGCAGAGAAGAATGTGTCAGCGCCAGGCAGTGGGCGTTTCCTTGCAGCTGCTGTTTGGCCTTGGAACAGCAGGACAGCCTGGCAGAGGCAGGCAAAAAAACAGCTGTCAGCAGTGAAAGAGTGGTCCAACTGTTGGCGCCAAGAAACTGGGCATCTATCAAATAGAATCGTGCGGAGCCTTTTTGCTGCAAAGACAAGTATTGTCGGCAAGAAAATGAAAGAAGCAGCTGTTTGCGGAAAAGGAGCCTGCGATATGATTGAGCTGAAACAGAGAGAGCGGACATCGATCAAACGCAGAAAGGAGATGAACAGCTGTCAAAAATTGGCCTCTGCGAGTCACACACTTCTAGTAATTACAGCCTTGACATGCCTAGCGGTTGCGCAAACGGAGTACCTGAAAGCTGGCCCTGACAGCGTCTCTTGATAGCTGGTATGATGTCTGGCAGATGGAAAAGAAGCCGCAAGGGGACGCTGTCCTTTAGCGCTGACAGCTGTCGAATCTGTTCTGCAAAGTCTGTTCTGAGTGGGGGGTCCCTCAATTCAACTCGAACTGCCGTCCAAGTTTCAGCCTCGAGCGTCCTATCTACCCATGATAAATTATCCATCTTTTCCGCCCCTGACAGCTGTCATACCCTCCTGCAGACTGAGGAGCAGCGGCAAGCGGAGGACGTTCGGCAGGAGCGGTGGCAGCAGCTCAAGGAGCACGAAGCCGATAGGCAGCGCCAGCTGGCGGCGCAGAGGGTGGCGGTGACATCACCGGCGCCAGAGGTGCGACCAGCGGCGAGGATGGTGAAGCAGGAGTGTTGGGCGAGGACCGATGGGGACATGTTGGTCAGGAAGCAGTGTTGGGTGGAAGAGGCGGCGCCTGCGGTGTGTATTCAGGTGGGTCAATGACTGAGGGCATGGAACGTGAAGGGGAAGGAATGAGAGAAGCTCAACGTAGTTGATCAATAGGTTTGAGATTGCAAGAGCGGGGATAGAAATGGTTACACTTGCAAGAACAAGATTAAGAATGCTTCTGTTTGCAAGAGCGGGCAGATAGAAAGAGGGGGAGCGCTGTCCAGATCAGTCTATTATCAATGTCGGTAAAGAACGCAGAGAGGAAAAGCTAGGGATGTGGGCTGTGATGATTTGGGCTTGTTGACGATCGGTGCAATTGCCCAGGTTGCTTGCTTGTTGTTTGGCAGAGTAGTATGTTCCAGTAAATCAGGCTTGTGATGATGGAAAAGCCTAGCTTTGAGATGCAAGAGTTCAAAGCTGTTGATACAAGCCCTTTGCCAAAGTGGAAGGATGACAGTCACGATAATTATCACATTTGGGAACAGTCCAGTTGCAAATTCTGCCAGCTTCACCCGTTCTTTCAATAGTATCACAGCTTTTGCTGTCCTATAGAAGCAGGTAGTAGATTTTCGAAGCTCAAGCTGTCCAGGGATTGCTCTTTGGACCCAACTGAAGCCAAGGTTTGTACAAATCTACCCAGGCTAAGACTTCGTTTTGCCCACTTGTGGCTTATCTCTTTGCCCTGTATCATCCCCAGGTTGTTGAGCACCAGATTCTGCCCCCACAAAGGGTGCCGACGCCACCTCCGCCCCAGTGGCAGCCCCCTGCCCAACCACGGGCTGACAGCTGGCACGAAGACGACCACAACTCTCCAGGGACAAGCGGTCGTGCGCAGCAATACGGGTCCGAGTCTTACACAAGGTCCAGGGTTTCGCGGCAAGACTGGGTTGAGGGTTGGGGTCACCAGGAGCAGCGGTTTGAGCGCCGTGCAGAACGCCGACGGGGTCCAGATAGGCCGTACGATTCAGACCGGCCACACAGCTCCTCATCAGCCCAGCACGAGAATACTGAGAGAGGGCATTACAGCTCCAGCGAGGCGTCGTCAGTGGCCACTTTTCCACGGAGTGAGCGGGAGCGAGCGGAGTGGGAAGCACGGGGCCGGGGGGAAAGAAGTGCGAGGCAGTCCGCTCAGAGAGGCGGCGAGTTTCAGCGGGGTGCGCAGGCCGGGGGTCAGGAAACACGAGTTGGGGAGTGGGCTCAGGCGGCGGCTTTTTCAGAGACAAAAGCTCAGCCCTCTCAAGAGCAAGAGATTGAAGACGGGGGTCCTGTGCAGGAGGGAGGCATGACGGTCGCAGCGCGTTGGAGCGAGCGGACGAGCCGCGAGTTGCAGTTTGGGGAACGGCCAGAGAGTCGGGGGCACGATGCTTCGCTGTGTGACACTCCGCGGGCAGTGACGTTGATTGAGGAACGGGTTAGCGAAGTCGGGTTAGTGGACGGGGGCGAGAATATCTGGGTTGAGGAGCGGACGGTCACCCACAAGGAGACGGTTGCTGACGTCATTGCCGATGCCAGCGGCGAGGGCGCTGATGTCACCAGCCCCACGCTGGTCGCAGAGGCGGTGTCCCGGCTCGCGCTGACGTCGGTGGGCTGGGACGAGGCGATGCACAACTTTCACGATCTCAGGGGGGTCCGGGCGGTCGTCAAGAAGCCTGAAGAGCTGCTGTCGCCTGCCGTGGTCAGCGGTGCTGTCACGCTCTCTGGGCTCGCAAGAAAGCGGGCGATCTCGCTGCCTGCGACTGAGGGAGCGGCGTCACGCGTTCTGGGGACGTCAGGTCTCGGTGTGAGTCATCATTCTCGGGGGCACAGTGCGGATGAGGGGAGCCGAGGAGGGGCGCCATTCGTGTCGGAGATAGCTGCTGAGAAGGCGAATCGGACAGACTTGGACGCTGCCAAGGAGAGTCAGACAGATTTGGACACTTGGGAGGTGGTCCGGGCCGAGTCATCCAACGAGGAGCGTCCGGCGTTGAGGCAGAATGACGATACGGTGATAGCGACCGGCGCAAGGCCAGCAAGCGCTCAAAACCGGGACCGCCTGGCCGCGCCAGCGGCAGGTGCTGACGTCAGCAACGATGGTGACGCCAGGAGAGCGGATGACCTCAGCAGGAACGGCAGGGACGACAGAGGCTGGGCCCGGTGCTTCCCGCACCCCCCCGAGGCGCGGCGCGTTTCCCCGTCAGTGGCCGCAATCATTTCGCCCCCTGCCGTTTCTCGGGGGGCAAGCCCCGTGCCCCTTAACAGGAGTGACTCGTACCCCCCCTCGGAGCGGCCCCCGGGCAAATCCTCTCCAGTCTGGTCCACAACAATCACCTCAGTCCCCATTCTTTCTGCCCCCCCTATGGTGCAGGCTGCCAGCACATTCCGGCCTGCAGTTACTCTTCCCCCAAGGTTTCCCCCCCTGCCTTTGCTGACTGAAATGGCCCCCCACACTCCGGCGATGGTGCCCCACCCCCCCTCGAACCCCAGCCCCCGTCCGCACCTGAGGAGAGCTTCGCGATCCGGCGCTCTTTCCGTCGAGGAGCGGCGCCCCCCCGTTTCCCCCGAGTCGGCCTTTCCGCAGTACGACAGCGAACCGGTGCCGAAGCAGTCATGGCGGGGTGCGGAGTTTCCTGAGACGTTGTCTGAGAGAAAGGGCGACCGGAGTGGAAACGAGGAGAGTTGGGGGGTATCGAGGAAGGATGATTCGACCCCCAGGCGAGACGACGGCAACCCGGGCCAGCTTTCGCGCTTCGCACCACCGTTCAGGGGGGGTCCGCCGGCCCATCCGGCACCCCCCGGGCGCGTGGAAGGTGCGGCAGGGGGGCAAGGGAGTTCGCAAATGGTGGTGGAGGTCGATTGCCCGATTTGTAGCGAGCCGCTTCAAGTGGGGAGAGCGATGTTTGCGCCTGAGTGCGGTCACTTCGTCCATTTTGACTGTTGCCGGTCGAACCTGCTGAAGGGATCCCTCGACTGCCCCCGCTGCCACCAGCGAATGCAGCAGAAGCCGTACTTGAAGACGCCGTATGGGCGCCCGGATGCTGACCGCCGTCGCGTGACCATTACTTAAGGGCTGGTAGAGCGACTCTGAACCGGGGCCGACGAAGGCTCGAGCTTTTGGTGGGCGTAGTAGGGCGTTGGTGTTGATTCTACGTGTTATGCGCTACATCAAAGCGTGCGTGATTGCTTCATTAACATTGGTGTGCGAGGTTACCAGTTGAACAGGTAGCCGCTCGGAGTATCTTACATGTTGTGCGAATCTGTGGTCGTTGGTCGGACTCTATCAGTCGGTCTGAGTACGCATTTGGCCTCCAATTTTGATTATTTGGGAGGTCCGCTGTTGTGAGTAACGTCGCGTTAGTAAGTTGATTCCGTGTCAGGAGGCGTTACGAAATTGTCCATTGCTTCTTGGAAGCTGACTTTTGATACCGTACTGGATTGTACTGCTGATATTCAAGTCTCGCCACTCGCATTTCACATGCCACTCTCATTCGTCTCTCTCATCCCAAATTGGTCCAATGTCCGGGACACATTTGAATCATTGAATAGCTTCACTGACGCATGCGGGACAGATGATGAGTCCTGATTGCTCTTGTAACGTGCATAAGAATAGCTGGCTGATCACATCATTGCTGGAGCGCCATTGCGGGCAAGCCTTTTCATTGCATGCATTGCATGTGATGTTCGGATCATGCATGCATATAGATGGTTCGTCACTGACGGTAGTTCAATATATGTCCTTACCATTAAGGCGCGAGCTAGCATGTGGAACTTCGAACATGATACCTACCGCGTCTCCGTGTATGATTGTACCAAATTGTGCATGTGTGTTGCATGCATGAACGGAACGGGCATGGTAATTAGATCGCGCGGCGCCAATATGAGTTGAGCACATGCCGCCGCCGGAGCTCTGGCCAGGCTGGCCGCCCCTCATGGCAGTATATATTATGAGCCCTCAGCGTGGCAAATCGTAATCTCCTCTTTCGGCATTCACAGTTGCACATGCAATCGCGAAGTTCTCCGATCCATTGGCCCTCTAGCGTCACTGCAACTTCAGTCTATCCACGCCGCCGTCGGCCAAAACCGTGATCATTCGCGATTGCCACATGAAAGTTGAAGTGCATCGTGTCTCGGTTTGAAAAGCTTCGCCATACGAATCATTAAGGCGAAACTTGTCCGACCATATCCGAACTAATCATTTGGAAGCTGAGCCTGTGACAATGGGCTTTCAGCCGCCGAGCCGCTGAGCCTAGCTTGACGACAACGGTACGTCGATCTTGCATGCTGCGCACCGCGGCATCCGACCCAAAGCCTAGCAATCAACAGGCAGCATTGTAGACCAATCCCCATGGCCTTTGAGGTCCCTATAACTTTCATGGTCGATTGTCCCACCAGTTTATGATGATTATTCAATGCTGTTTTTGAGTCAAAACTTGCTAGACTAGTACCTCTGCATGAACACAGGTCGAGTCTATGTTACACAACGCAATGATACTAGGCTATAGTCTTCCATGACCCTGTTCGACATACTTGCCTTTGATACGGAAGCGTGTTTGTTCCAACATGCACGTGCAGTCGTGCTAATGCCGTAACTGACCGTCTTATGACTATCTTAACGTTATGACCATGCAATGTTACCTTAAACCGTTTGTGTTGAAATGATATGCCTAGTCAAACCACCTCACCCATGAACGTCTGCAGTATCCCATCTACGATCTCTTTCGGAATCTTCCGAGCGATGCGTCATTCCCACGCGGCAGAACGCCATCTCATTTACCTCTCACCACTACCAATACGACGCCAAGCCACGACGCATCGTTGCCGGCTACGTATGGAACCCACATGCGCTATACCCCAACACTTATCCCTATACCAGCTACACCACGACGACCGCCCCTCGCTTATTTCAGAATATGAAACTCGCGGCAAGCGGCTCGCAGTCCCTTTTGTGCCGCTCTCACTGTGAGTCAAAAGCAAGTCGTAAGAGATCCTCCGAGGTCCCAGTGAACGATATTCTGAGTCCACGCTTTGACGAAGCGCTGGACACGTGTCCCGTCCTCGTTGGACGGCTCACGTGACCATCAATGCGGCCCCCCTGGTCCGCATGTCGCGACTATCCCCTTTTCGTCTCTCCCCCGATTCGTGTCCTGAAGTCGTTAGCGGTTCTCACCCTCGGGGAAAAAGGCCTTAAACTATTGTCGAGGCTTTGAACGCTCACTTACTTGCGGCGAGAGGCCTCTCTCGCTGACCTTTCTCTACCCGCCTCGACGTCTTCCATCCCAGTTTAAAAACCCAATCATCTACCCATCTGCCCTTCATTCCGGACGCCAATCCCCCCGACTTCTCAGTCTCGTCCGGAATTCAATCTTCGCACCAGCATAGCCGTGCCAACTAATCGTCCCCTCACAACCAGGCGACTCCGTTATTAACTTCGCACTCAGCGGAGATCAACACTCACCAATCTCCCCGGGCCTCATCGCGCCCCCCCTCTTTTGATTTCTGACAACCCATCACCCCCCGCCTCCCCCGGAAACGAAGTACGCTCACTGCAACGTACTCTGCGTGACTAGCGTACCGTCTCCCAACCGTCTGAGCAACACCAAATGGGGGGCGGTCCCGTGCGCTCGCCCGCACTGCAGACAGAAGTGGCTGTTCTCGTTGGGGCACGGGCGGCGGCCGCGCCCGAAGTGGCAAAACCCTGTCTGGTAAAACTGGCGGCAGCCCGTGTAGTCCTCGCGCGGCTCGCGCAGCGCGGCGTCGGGCTGGGGGCCGGGGCGCGCGCGCGCGTCGCCGCGCAGCTCCACCTGGAGGGCCGCGATCGCGTAGTCTTCCAGCTGGGTGAACTGACCGGGGAGAGGAGAGGAACGGGGTCTATAATCATGTCAATCTTGTGTGTTTCAGAATGACAGAAAGTCAAGGATCGCCTGAGTTGTGCGATGGGGTTCGGAAGGCATTAGAGATACAAAACGACGCGCCAGAAGGTCCTGAAGCATCCATATTGTGGATTTTGGAAGTTGATGCGAACGTCCTACGGCTTCAGAAGACGTAGAGACCAGGAAACGGTGGAATGCACAGTAGATTCGACCCCGCATCGCTTTGATGAAGTAAGCTCCTTCGAAACGAGATGGGAATCCGCACTAAGGAACGAGACGAGGATTTGAACGCTAGGCAGGCTTAAGAACGATCCGCCTGGCGCAAAGGTTCGTGCACTTGTCGTTCACAAAGTACACTCCCGTTATCCTTCAATGAGTGATCAATGACGACAAGATGAAAGATAGAGGACGGCAATCCGCGTTGTTGACGTGTGCAGATCTGTGGCTTAAGAAAGGAGACACCTCGGATTCATTCTCGCCTTTCTCCTTATCGCCCACCAATCATCTTTACCGGAGACGTCGTCATGTGAGGCTGCTTCTGATAAAATACACATCGGTCAGTGACCTCCATCTTTTACGAAGTTCGCTCACAATACACCAGCTTACTCCAACTGGCCACGGAATGCAAGCATTACCGTTCGACAGCTGTCTGCGGGGGTGATAGTATGCGGGCGCCAACCGTCTCGCTCCGGGTACATCTTCTCAAACACCCCCGCTTAGTGACGCATTTGAGAAACTTCCGGATCTAGACCGATTGCCAGAATGGGTCCTAATCCCCAAAATGAGGTCACCATCGCCCATGCGAAGGTGGCGCGCCTCACCTGTGCTGGCGTCATCCCGTTGATCAGCTGACGCAGCTGCTGCACCTCCGTCCGAAGCTGCTCGCGCCCGGGGTCCGCGGCGGTTGCCTCTAGTTGCCGCTGCAGGACCAGAATCTCACGCACCTGCTCCGACAATGTGAAAGCCTGGTAAGCATTTTGAGCACCGTCCGATGAGAAAGCAACGGTTTGGATCACGTTTCCCGCTGCCCATGGCCACAAAGCGGCCCCATGTAGACACCACCTGATCTCGTATACACTCGGTCGGATGCTTATTGTGTCGCGGGAAAGTTCCTCTTCGTTTGACGCAAAGCTCCTGACTTCGCAGTTCATTCGAATGCAGGTTGCTTGTTGGCTTGGTACCAGACCGGGCGTCTGATTGGAGATCAGCACTTGTGTCCTGGCCTGAAAAGTGGCAGGGAAGCTCCGATACTTTTGCGCTTAGTCCACCAGATCTCAAATCTGAGAGGCCAGGCAGGACAGAGAAGGCGGGGTTCTACGATCCTAACCTGCTCTGTGTAAATCTCATTCGCGCGCGTCAGCTCCCCCCTCAGGACGGCGATCTCCGCTCGCAGCTGGGTGTGGGAGTCACCAGCGCTGCGAGATATGAGGATGCGAACGTTTCGGGGGGGGTCCGTTTTCTGGTCTCTGGAATTTTCCAATGGGTGCCATTCAGGGGGCGATGTCCCTTCAGACTTGGATGTTCCGTCAGAAGACTGCTTTTCTTGACCTTGAACTTTCCGGGTGGGTGCTCCTTTGACGGCTTCTAGTTGCAAGAGAAGCCTAGTCTAACCTCCACAAGGGGGTTACAGAACAATAGGACAATACAGGATACTTAAGCTCAAACAAGTCCAGGCTTCGACGTCGACTTTTTCTCATATAAGGGAGCTGGGAGCGTGTGTCCCAACTGAAACTCTTACTTATCAAACCCAAAGATAGCACGGTTTGGCCTCGTACAACAAGTTCCCAGACGGCGTGCCGAACATCAGACAGTCTAGCCCCTAAGAACCCATTGGCAAAAGTTACGCCGCTGACTTCGTAAAGCTTCAAGATAAGGCACCCCGACCACCAAACAAAACTGAGCATCCAAGCATGACATGACATGATAAGACTCCTTTCTAGGCGCAAAAGGAGTGATTCAACTCCCTGCAGACACACGCAATCTCAAAGCCCACGGCATATCGAAATCAACATGAATAGAAAGCTGACATGCGTAATCTGTGCTCCTCACTTATCCAGCTCCCTGTGAAGGCGCGCAATCTCAAAGTCCTGCTGCCGCCGCCTCTCTTCCGCCTGCCCGAGCAACCCTCTCAGCCTGCTCATCTCATCCCGTATCTGCTCCTCGTTTGTTTGTCTCCGGGGGACAGAACTGCTGCGGCCGTACCCGTGGCCGGACCCCCCCGCTGTGGACCAAGGCCGCCCGTCGTCCCCCCGCCGCATTTCCCCCTCCCGCTCTAGTTCCAAAAGCAGGGAGTTTCTGTAGATGGGAACGTTTATGTCCAAGCTGCTGAGGAGACACGTGGCAGAGTCTGAGCGATGGAATGTCTTTGTGGGCGATGTGAATAGGCTCGGGGAAAACCCGCTCGATGGGGCACTACGCCGGAAAAGTGGTGCTGGCGTGGGAGAGCGTAAGGGGGAGCAAAAAGGGGAAGCTAGGAACTGGGTTGCCGAGTTTCTCAAAATGGCTCTTCCGAAAAGGGTGCAACCCGGGTCAGCTCTCTCTTTCCGGGGAGTATGGACTCTCTGCTTGGTTGAGGCGTAAAAATCACCCCTAGAGCTGAAACGCCGTCTGGAATTCAATTGTGGGCTGATCTGCACTCCGGTGGATGCTATTTCAGCCATACTGCGGCGAGGGGTGTTGCGCCCTTTTGTTTTTGGACCACCACAGAGGGGGTGGTGCCAGGGGGGGGGGTCATGCGTGGGCGCTCGAGGGGGGGCATGGAGGGTTGGGCGCGGGCCCCCCTGGAACGAGTGGGGGGTCCGAGATGAGTCACGTGGGCTGATCGTATCCTCAGGGGGGGCAGCAAACACAGGCCCAGACCATACACCTGTAAAAAGAATCCGAGATATTTTCTTTGGTCTCAAGAGGGAAGAGGGAACACTCTGAGTTGTGCTGTAAGAAGGGGCAGAGTGTACACGCACAAGAAACCCTGCATAATATCGCAATACCAATCTTCTTGGAAAAGAGCAAGAAGATCATGGCTTGAGTCCTAAGGGACAAAACGACCACCCGAAAAGAGCCACAAGGACACAAGGGCTGTTGGTTGCGCTCAGGAGTAAACAAGCTGGAAAGACTGATCCAATGAAGTTTAAATGGATGGTATGGGATGGGGTCTGTGGTTGCCTGTGGTAGGAAAGACTGACGGTAGAAAGTGGTCTCAACCTTGTGTTTATCAGACCTGTTATTAGCCGCTCACAAGAGCCTCACTTGAAGGTGAAAGTAGGTGCTTGGTCGAACAGCTCATAGACCAGGGCTATAACTTTCTCAAACCCCCTCACATGTGAGACCCTAGAGTAGGTAGCTCGTGAGAAGGCAAATGCTTGTGCCAAGCAGGAAGACACAGTCGCTTGCACAACCCATTTAACTAGTATTGACACCACTTCCTCTTCAACATGGATGTTCCTCCTAGGCAGTCAAAGAGCAGCCACCAAGGCATCGGCAGAATCTTTCGTGACCTCCTTTCCTTATTAACATGACTGCCAGCCTATTCTGAGAAGTTGAAAGGAAAGTGCTCATGTCTCCAGCTGACATGGACACAAGCAGCAAGAGAGGCTGACTAAGATGTTATCTCCATTTGCCAGCCTGATGCATTCAGATTCTTACTGTCAGACTGACCTCCTAACTTTAAGAGTGTAACTACATGTTATCAGACAGGCCCTACGCACATCCCCAGTGAGCGCAAGTGTTGGGACTTCGAATCTGGTCAATCTTTGACACCGCCGCAAGGTCTGCTTGATCCAAAGTCCGCATCCCGCCACGAAAAACAAGGCTCACAGGTCCCTTTAAGTCGGCCCATCTAATATATTGCTCACTTTAACATGGACTCACGGTTTAAAGCTAGATGACAGCAACTCTTCCAAGACATTTTCGAGGAGCTGCCACTCACCTGGTCGAATTTCTCAAACCCTTCACAAACTCTCAAGAAACCCTCCACAAAGCCCCTCCCCTGGTGGCTCCTGGCCCCCAAAAAGGGCGCCCTGCTGGCAGATGACGTCAGCTGACAGCCAATGATGATGTCAGCGCGTACCACCCCGGAGGGGGTCAGATCCTTGTGAGGAGGGGGGATCTGGTGTGCTTGGACTCCGTACAGGGGATTACTGCCCCCGCCAGGCAGGCATGGTTATCAGACCTCCACTGTTTGCGCAGCTCAATCATGCACGTCACGCTTCTAACGTTCTGGGTTCATGGCCAAAGAAGGGTGCCCCACTTTCTTTAGAAAGATGAGAGGTCTTACTTTGCCTTCCTACCACCCTGTTAGACGGAACGGCTTCCCCACACGCACGTCAGGGCCTTACTGCAGTCTTGTGCAGCCAATGATGATGGATTCTAGACAGCCAACATGTGATGTCGTTTCTAGAAGCACACCGCCACTCCAGCTTCCCACCTTCGCATACAGCTCAGAAAGGATCCACTTCAAAATTTCAGCTGGAAGGTTGTCAGATCAGGCCCCACTTTGATCTCCTTACAATGGGACCGTCTGACAATGAGCAAGAGCAAACGGTGAAAGCGCTTTAGCAGCGGGGCAATGGAAGTCTGGGTCACGTCGTGGGTGATCCGGCCGCCGCGCCACCGCCACCTGTCATTCGCCGGCCGCTTGCCGCGGTGCTATTGCTAGCGCCCTGCAAGGCGGAGAGATTGCAAAACTGTTTCCCTGCATTGGGCGTTGTGCAAGCGCCGTGTTGTGCTTCTGACGCTGTGCCCCTTTGCTGATCCTTGACTGAATGATGCAATAATGTGTCCCCAACACCGCTACCCATGCTTCAGCAGTGCACAAATCAGGCTGTCGCCCTATGTCACTACGTGCTTCTGACAATGGCTCCCTCTATCTGAAGCATGCTCGTTGACTTTGCAAGACTGCGGCGGTTGGAACGCCCCCAGTCAACACCCCGAGGAGTGGCGCTGCTGTGGTCACCTGTCAGACGCTCTGTGTGAGGAGGCAATTCGGGGGAGGTGACAAGCGCTATGTATCCTGTATGTGATTGTCACATGTGCGAGCTCGTGATCCCATGGGCCATAATATATTTGGGAGAGAAAGGTGCGGAGATAGGGCGGGCCCCGTTTGCTGCATCTTCAAGTGCATCTGGTTTCCAACGCAGCCACGTCCGCCGCGGGCCATGGAGGACAGTTCTTTGCAGGCTGTATTCGCGAGAATGCATAATGCACGTTCGAGATACGCAATGCCGCGTGAGCTCAGCGGTCGTAGATATTGTTGAACTGGTTCTAAAACACTGCTAACCCACATGGTTGGGTCATCGATCGAGACTCGTGACAGCTCCGAGTCCTCTGAGCTCTCCCGGCCGTCGTTTCCTCTCGGGACGTTGTGGAAAAGTCGGACTCAGGAGTCAGGAATCAGGATGCCCCGGCCACTGTATCACTGTCCATATTTATTTTACTACCGCTGGGCCGCGCGTTCTTAATACATCTGTTTTACTACTCACGTTCATGCCCGACACCCGTGCTAGAATCGATACAGTACTTGACGGCTCCGACAGCCAGAGTTGCTGGGCCCGTCAGGCAGCAGGTTCCTGACTGCAGTCATGAGCAGAGTGACGAGTCAGCTTGGAGAGCTGTAGCTGAGTTCACATGGGGTCACGCGCAAACGATCCTGCAAATCACATTCTGATTGGCCGCCGCCCGAATCGTATCTGTCAGAAAATGAATTGCAACGTTCCGAGTTTTGACATCCGTATTGTTCGGACCCCTGTCTTTAATTTCGAATGGCTGAAGCCCGACGTTCACGTGATCAGCCGCCAGCTGGCAGCGCGAGGGCAGCGCGTGCGCGCCACGCGGTATCAAGTGGCCCGGGCGGCGGGGATAGCCATCGAACCGTTCGTAAATTCAATGGACGGCTTATGGTGGTCAAAACAAGTCGGGCCTTGTCAGAGACCGGCCCGGGGATTCTGGAACGTAGCCGGACTCCGGAGTCAGACTCGGAACACAAGTGACTCAGGAGTCGGTCAAGACTCACCGTGCACCGTCACTCACGAGTCACGACTCAAGAATCAAGATCCTATCAAGAGTCGAGAAAGAATCTTCAATTTAGCAATAGTAAGCCTTTAGCAAAAGTAAGCTCACCAGTCTGGGACGGGTAGGGTTAGTTTGGGGGTTAGGGTGGGTTCGGGTGCGGAGCGGGTGTTTTTGTAGGTTAAGTTTTTAGTGTTAGTGTCGGAGCTAATACTAGGTATTGCTAGGGCTCCCGGCTTACTGTTGCTAAATTGAAGAGACATCAGTCGAGACCCGGAACTCGATTGAAGTCGGGTTTCGGAACATACCGGTAGGTACTCTAAATCATAATGTACTACCTACGTACCGGTAGTACCATACCAACCCTACTACCCTGTGAAAAAACCCCCAGGCTGTCCTGAAGAGCCAGCAGAATCCCAGATTGGGATCCAGTATTTCTGGCGAAATCATGTGCCAATGAAGCAACGGCCGAGGTTAGGACACATGGGCTTCAACAATCCATCACTTTGAAGCTGACGTCTCTGGCGATCGTATCGGAATCATCGGATCCGCGACCAAATCCGTCGGGCAACCTGAGGGTGACGGTGTTTGACCTGTCACACCTCAGTGTGGCATCTGCTGGTCATCACCGGTCATTGCCGTCCGTACACAGACCCGTCCGGCCAGGCCAGTCGACAGCTACTAAGGTGTCCACAGTCCAGTATCCCTCCCTTCAATGCCGCCATGAATTCGGTTCATTTTTTGGAACTTAAATACGGTATAGTAGTAAGCACAGAGTCAATGAAAGATATCCGGCTCAGTGGCGTGAGTATATGGTAGACTGTAGATTCCGATATGGGCAGTACCGTGTCCAGTATTAACTCCAACGTTGCATGGTGCCTTCATCATACCGGAAGTGCATGCTCTACGCAAGGCTCAACTTGCCGTGCAAATTAATGCAATGCCGTTGTCTCCGTCAGGTTGCTTCCATGTCAGAGGAAAACATGGAGTGTCGACTCACCAAAGCTGGATTTTATTACGAGATGTTGCTCATTGTCCGCACCGGATCGCCTTTCCGTCCATTTGCATTCGCACTAAGCTAGCTAACCTGGTAACGTTCGATTGCCAAGTCCAATGTAAGTGCAAGCTTTGTCCGCACAAAGAAGCTTTCTATGAGATTGTTAACAGCCTTTGCCGATTCCGACAATACGTGATTCCTTCACCTATGTTTTTCATCAACACTTTGCCTAGAAGGCCCGTCCTTGGTTTCAAGCCTCATCGTCGCTTCCGTCACTGTCGGAGTCGGAGTCCTCGCTCTCCTCCTTGTTGCCTCTGCTGACGTACGAGCTCTTCGCCACAGAGGTGCGCACGACTGGCTGACGCACTGGTGCTTCCTCTTCCTCTTCCGCCTCTTCCTCCTCTTCTTCCTCTGACACGTCATCCTCGTCGTCAGTTTCTTCGTCGTCCTCACTTTCTTCCCGCTCGCTGAGCCTCGGTGCTTCCGCGACGGTTCTCTTGACCGCCCGCAGCACCTCGGGGAGTTCGTCCTCCTGAACGGGAAGAACTCCTGGTTTCAGGCACATCCAGATTGCACGAAAGAGTGCACAAAAGAAACTTCGGCAAAGTGATGAGTTTGGGTCGCCCAAAGCACAAAGCCCACATCAAGTGCACCTCGCACCGGTGATAATGCTCACATAAGGTCGGCTGATCATAGCACTAAGCCGTTTCCCTCTCGTTTACTTCATCGCTAACAGAAAACACACTTCCTCGTGGGGTCGGATGACGTCCGCAAACTTTGGAGGGGAACACCAAAAGTATTGCTGCCTCCTCCAGCCGCCATTACCATCCTGGTCTGTCACTGCACATCACTTTCCATGCTACTTCTCGATAGTCTTTTCAAAAGGACGTTCAGAACCGCTGCCGACGCACCCCGCTTCTAGTTGCTCAGGCGAGAACGGACCTCACCGCCCATCACCCCCCGCGGAAAAGTTCTCACCTCGGTCTTTTGCCGGGCGCCCATTGCCTGGATTCTGGACCTCATGTCCCGCGCCTTCGCCCGTTCGTCCTCCGAGTCGCTCTCTTCCTCGCTCTCCGACTCGAGGGGATCTCTCGCCGCGTCATCATGCTGTTTTGCCGACGTCACGCTGCTGCGCTGCTGCTTCCCGGCTGACGTCACGCTGGTGTTGCGGGACTTGTTGGTCGCCTGGCTGGTGGTGGCGGCCAGGCTCTTGGGGAAGGAGAGCGGCTCAGCTTCCGGCGACCAGGCTGCGGAACCAACGGAAACGGAAACGTGAGAAAGTCCGGAAAGTCCCTTGCTGTAGCACGGAAGTTGATAGGCTCTCGTAGGAGAACCCGCACGTCTCCAAAGATGCACCTTTGCAGAAGGGGTGATGAAGGCAGCACAGGAAGGTTGAGTGATGATGAAAGCACAGGAGAGCAGAAAGGTGCGACGGGTGAAGCCACTCAAAGAAGATAGGTGTTGGATTACGTGTCGACTGAATTATGTAGGATTGTGGCAACTCGTAACGCAATAGCCGTTGGTGATTGTAGGCCTCTCATCAGCCGCGTGACACTCTTGAAAAGTGGAAAAGAACGTGCCCGGGCAGAGAATCACTGCGGAAGGCAGCGCCAGTAAAACGAAGCACGACCCAAACCGCAAAGATCAGAACGGGGATGAGCAGGGCCCGGTTTGCAAGCCAGCGGTCCTTGGGGCGCCTTTTTCGTGCAAAAGTCAGCACTGGAAGAGGATTTAAGTGACAGGGTGACGGTCCAAGGATCGCCAGCAGCTGACTACTGTGATTCCCGCGACACAGAATAGTTGAAAAGTCGACAAGAATGAGGAGTACCCAGGCTCGAAGCAACACCGCAAGGCAGGGCCCAAAGCCAGAACCCGCCAAATACTCCAATCTACAAGTAAAACGCCAAGAAAGTGCGATCAAGTCGGCTTTCAGCCGACATTCACGAAAACCCACGGCGGCCCCCCTGAACGCGGGCCTCGTGAAAGCGGGCCAGCTTACCCGGGGCATCATTCCAGGGAGAGAATGAGCGCGAGGCTGGAACAGGATAAGTGACAACCTTGAGACGCGAAGATTGTAGAACCGGGCTGTCGCACCTGAAGCGTCTTTCATGCGCGTAACTCAGCACGAGGAACAGGATTAGTGACCACGAAAAGCGGGCCAGCTTACCCGGGGCGTCTTTCGCGGGCGCGTTCGTGCCGAGAATGAAACCGTGCACGTCCCGGAGCTCCCTCTCCAGGCTCGCAATGCGCTCCTCCGCGGTGCGGCCCTTGTCGGCCTTTGGGCTGGCCAGAAGAGCCTGCGGGGAAGAGAAGAACACGGTGAGCAAGCCATTGGTCAATCTTTTCAAACTATGACAGCTGTATCAACGTTCTTCTTCTGTGCTGCTTACTCGCACGCTAGCTTTTCTGGATTGTTCAGTGAGGAAGCTTTCAAGTGACCGCAAAAGAGGCGTGAGTTTCAGAGCGGCCAAGGCACTGACTGTCAGCAATCTAAGGTGAGCAACTCGAAAAGCGGCTAAAGCACTGACGGGCAGCAATCTGATTTGTGCATTTGGAGGGCGGAGGAGGCAGGTTGTGAGAATGACCGAGGGCGTCAGGGGAGGGCACAGAAGCTCTGTATCAGCCCTTCTCGAAAAGCCGCATCTGTTGTCGTGCTTTTTGGAAGATGAACAGGCAGACGGGAAACGCTCAAAGAGCAAAAGCAAAGGCGTCTTAAGCCATCGACACTTGATTCAAGAAGTGAAGCAGATAAGGGACAACGATTGCCCGCTAACAGTTCCTTGTGTGACACTTCCCCAATAACTACGACTGCCGGCAACCATTCCTTTTTTTCTAGTGACGTGAACATCTCCAACAATGACAATTGCCCGCATCCATTTCTTCGTGACGCGGCACGTTTCTTTGTGCCACGTGGCACTCGCGGGGGCTGACCTTGAGGCGGCTCTCGGAGGCGGTGGCGTTGATGCCGGGGCGGAAGGTGCACTCGGCCATTTCGTGCGCGAGCTTCTCCTGCTTCAGCTTCTCGACGCGCTCCGCGATGCGCGCGCGCTCCACCAGCTGCATCTGGTACCACTGCTCCGGGGTCCTGCACAAAGTAAACGTTGCACCGGGGTTTGAGCATGACCTAACACTTACACCTTCTGGATCTGCTTTGGTTTGCACCGGGGTGTGAGCATGACCAAATACTTAACCTTCTGGACTTGGTGCCTGAGCTGTGGGAAGGTGTCATTGTGGACTGCTTTAAAGTGCAGTTCCAGAAATTAGGTCCAGCATGATTGGCTGAGATCCTTGAAAGCCCCAAACAAAGCGTCGGCCATTGTTGGTCACAATCTGGTCAAGCTTTGTCTGAAGGCCCTCTTTTCGCGTTCTGATGGGCCGATTGCAACGGCAGCCAACAGCTTCACCACAATCGCAGCTGGTCTGTAACGTGGCAGCAGCTGCTCTCAAAAGCTCACAGAGGCTGGACAAAGGAGCTTCGAGAGAAGATTAAACAGGCGGATAACGGAGGTTGAAAGGATAAGGAGGAAGCACACGGGAGGCCTGGGGTGGCACCCACAAAATGAAACTCTACCATAACCATAATGTATTATGATAATATGATTTTCCTGAGACCCATGGGGTTAGGAAGGGGTTGTAGGGTGAACACAGGCGAGTTTTCAGATTCTAGCTTAAGCTTCGTTTTGATCATGCCTTGAGCTTATATTAAGCAACTAGAGGGTTCTACTCACAGGTCGGATCGGCGGCGGCGCTCGGCCATTTCGCGCGACTTCTTGCCCATCTTGTACGCAAAGGTCATGTCCCGGTTGGACCCCCCCGAGCGGTGGCTGTCGGGGAGGAGGTACTTGCGGGGCCCCGTCTTGCGCCCGTTCTGCGGCCGTTGGAAGCGCCCGGGTTAGAGGGTGCCAGCAGCAAAAGTTGATCAGGAAAGCAGAGAATGCTGAGACAGTCGGAGAGCGGTTGCTTCTAACCTCAAGAGCTTCTTTTTGATCGGTGAAACGACACTTGAACGTTAGCGTTCAGCACCCTCAATAGATGCCGACCTTATGCTATCCCTTTGCACCATAACCCTCGTACAAATCTGGTCACAGGACGGGATCGCAGATCGAACCGTGTTATTGAGAGGCCGAAAGGACACTTCCGAAGAATCCCGTGTTGCATGCTGAGGGTTGGATCGTAGACAAGTGGCGGCCGCTGCTTTTGACTTCGTCGCCCCTCCTCCGTTTCTGAGAGAACCAATTGGCGACTCGAGATGGGGCCGCACTCCCAATCTTTTGCGTGCCTAGTTCTGCGCTACCCACAAAATCCGGGGACAAAGTTGCCACGTGTCCTTGAAAAATTCGTCGCGCACTCACCAGTACAGCGGTCATGAGCTCGGTGAACTTGTCGAAGGTGACCACCGGGTCTTCTCCCGCCAGCCTAGTTGCCTCCTGGATGTCCTCCTTCACCTCGATGTCGAGAGGCTCCAAGTCGGAGGTGGCAAGATCCACGGTGCCGTCCTGTAAGCAGAAAATCGCAAATGACGTCAGACCGGTAAAGCGAATGGCCGAGTGCCATTGAATGCGTACTGAAGCTGGGTAGCTGAATCCTATGGACTGATTTGCCTGAGCAACGGAAAGGAGACCGGCTGCGTCCAGGTTGGTCCAAGGACGCCGTTAAATCGCCGAGGTGCTATGCTGACGGCAGCAAACAAAGCCACATCGAGATACAATATAGTGGTGCTTGGAGCTGCCAGTGCGCAACCTTTTACCATGTCGAAGCACAGAATGGCCAAAACCCCTCGCAAGGGGTACGTCGAAGATTCGTGGAGTCGTATCGGCGGCGGGATTGCGGATCCGCATCCCTACTCAACTCTGATATACTCTCATTATCGATACAGAATCGTAACCCCAAAATCATCCCTTCACCAAATGATCGAATGCCAAAAAGCCCAAAACCCCTGATTTTCCCACCTTGTCCTTGTCGAGGTACTTGAAGATCTGCTGGAAGCGGCGGCCGCGCATGCGGTGGAGCAGGTCGAGCGACGCCTTGTTGACGTACTTTTTGTTGGCGGCCTCCTCCGCCGCCTCGCGCTCGCGCTCCGCCATGAACTCCTTCTTGTCGCCGAACTCGTGCCGGATGCTGTACAGATACTCGCCCACGTTCTTGCGCCGCTGCAAAGAAAAATAGAAATGATGACCATCAGAACATGGATCCAAGTTTGCCTTCTGATTGACTTTCAGCAGCTGCTCTTCTTGGTCAGACACGTGCCGGACTTTGTATAGGTACTTGCCCACGTTTTTGCGCCGCTGCAGCGATGGTCTGTAAGCGTTAGTGTCAAAAAAACTACAACTGTGCTGAGACCAAACGAATCGATGTTCTTCTCTGGATCGTTTCCAGAGAGTAAACATCTCTCGTGCAAAAAGGTGTGTAGATTCGCACTCAGAATAATGCGGAACGAGCGAAAGACTCTAGAGGCCTCATTTTAGTTGCATATATGTGAGAGCGTTTGGTTCTGGTTCTCCGCATCGAGATCTGAAGGGCCTTCCTGGCCAACGCGGTACTTGTGGTCTTCTTAAAGCAGCCCTCCATACTGAAACCAATTCACCAGCATCTTGAAGCGACATAGCCGTCGCCGCGCGCTCTCAATCTGGGCGGACGTCCTTTCTGGGTCTTGAACGGTAGCTGGTCAGGCTGCTCAGAACCTGTCTAAATTCGGTTAAGTTTCTGGTCAACAGCAAACAATCGCAAAAGAGTATTGTCCTTCATCGCCCACCTTGAAGCTGGGCGGACGTCCGATCTGGGGCTTGAACAGCGTGCGTCCGGTGGCTGCGTCCACGGGCTTCTGCAGCTCCGCCTTGAGCTTGTCGCGCTTGGCCTGGATCTGCTGCGCGGACCGGTACAGCCGGTCAAACAGGTCCGCATCCACCTCCTCGTCCGAATCCGCCTCGGACTTGGATCGGGACTTGGTCACACGGTTGGGCTGGAATGTCACGCTGCAAGGATAGGGGGACGGGCTTCAGCTTCGTAATGGGACGAGACTCTCAATAGTTCTCAAGTTGGGTCACTTTCTTTCTGTGGGAGCAGCATTCTCGACCTAAAACTCACTTGACTTCGAAGAGACTGCACTGCCTAAATGTTTGCGAAGAGTTGACAGGGATCGCGACATTAAGAGTATCAAGTGTATCTCTTTCCAATCTAAACGATGACTTCCTCAGAGGCTTCCAGCATTAGAAGCGGATCCAGAAAGTTGAAGATTCGTGCGCACTTGTAACTCGAGGGAAGAGGTCTAAATCCTTAACGACTTAAGATACGGCCACCAGAACTTAGTTGTTCGATGATGCTGAGCGGCGCAAACAGCTCCTTCGCAGAACTCCAAGAGGAGATCCCATGAGTAAGCGCTTTAGTATTTAACCCTTTCGCTCCACAACTGCTTAACCGCAACTAATGCAGGGTCACTTTGAGCATGTCAGGTTAAGATTCAACATTACTTTACTTTGGCGGAATGCGAAATGGGCTTGTTCGGGACCCCGGTCGGCGCACTGTGGGTGGGTTTAACTGGTGCCCCATTGCTTGTAACACGGACTTGTTAGTGTGCACGCAATCACTCCTCGGCCTGTGAGGTTTACAGCTTCCTTCAAGAGCGACTTACGAGGAACTGTGAAAACGAATCTGCAGGTGTTGCTCAAAGCAAGTCAGCTTTGGTGCCTCTCTCCTCCGGGTACCAGTTGGCGTACTGCGCGTGGCGCTGCTTGAGGGCTTGGCGTCTACAAACAGCTCCGTCAGACCAGCACAAACAATTGGCAGGAAAGATTGTGAACTGCGTGAAGCGTTTTTGGTGCCTCACTCCTCGGGGTACCAGTTGGCGTACTGCGCGTGGCGCTGCTTGCGGCGCTGCGCGTCTTGGTGCAGCTGGTCGTAGTGGCTTATGTGGTGCACGCGCAGCACCTCCGCGCGCTCCGCCATCAGCGCGCGCGTCTTGCGGTTCAGCGCGGGGGCGAACGTGCACTCCGCCAGCTTCGCCTCCTCCAGCTGCGTAAAACCGGGTTAACAACGGGGTTTAGTGGTCGATACTAGGGTCAATTGAGAAATTGAGGAGATCTACAGCATTATTGAGACTGGGCTGTGCTTTGTCATTAGCGCGCGCTTTTTGCCGTTCAGCGCCTGCGCAAACGTGCACTCCGCCAGCTTCCCCTCCTCCAGCTGCGGAAACCGAATTAGCAGCCAGGTTTTAGAACGGATAACAGAACAACTTGAAATAGATTCAAAGAAGGAAAAGTACTCGGCTTTCTCAGCCAGCTTCATCCCCAAGGTGCAAGAAGATGTTAACAACGGATTTGCAACTGGATAATAGGGTGACTCACGTGGCTTCACAGAGATATCCAAAGCTGGCTTCGCTCTGCGAGCTTCGCCTCTCCTAGCTGTGCACCAAGTAGCAGCTCACTTGGTGAAAGAGCCTGAACATGGGGACCTCTTACGAAGCCCTCTTACAAGCACGCGGATTTGAAACCGTGCCGCCAAAAGCCTCACTCACCAGCCACTATTATAGCTAATTTCATGACCAGCTCAATGGACCGCAAATCAGATAGCAGCCGACCGTCTCGCTGTGACCCTTAGTCAAAGAAACAACGGGCTCGATGCTGGCGCGTCTCACATTGACATTACACAAGAAGGAGCAACCGTCTGCCTGAAGCTTAAGCTTCAATTCTGGCTAACGACGGTCTGCGACAGCAATTTCGCAAACATGAACGGGCAACGGTCAGGTATTACGACAGCCCTATTTTCGAAACGCAATCAGATTTCTCACCTGGCTTTTGAGCTCCGCCAGCTTCTTCTGCTTGTTTGTTGGCGCGGCCGCCAACCGGCTCCACGGAACGTCGTCGGGCCGTTTCATTGACTTGGCCAGGTGGCTGCAAGGGAGAGGTCTGTCTTGAGTTTGCTCCGCAGGAGAAGAGGGCTTTGTTCCTTTCTCGGATGCTTTCCTCGACACTTTGCACACAGTCAAAGTCGAGCAAACAAGCAATTTATCCTCTCTTCCGCGTCTTCTTCGTAGTCCAAAGAATCAACAAAACACGACTCCAGCCATCGTTAGAAATAAACGGAAAGGCTGCCGAAAGCAGAACTTGCTCAACGTTCATCGTTGCCCTAGGTACTCGCGAAAGTTTCGCATGCAACTGTGAAGCGTACTGCGAAAAGCTGTAAAGGACGACTAACCACCGCACCAGATGCCGGACTTAAGCATCTCCTTGTGCGTCTTCTCGTTTCTGCTCTCCAGAATTCATTAAAACCTCTGAGCCCAAGATTCTACAACCTAAAGTCTTCGAACCCAAACTTTTTGAGTTCAGTCTTGGATTCTAAGAGTTGAACATGACGTCATCAAACCCAAAACCGCCGCATGCATCTCTTTGACCTCGAACTCTGCGAGCGTAAAATCTTCGGACCGAGAGCCCAGATACTCACAGATCTCCAAACCCCTCCATATTCCCAAAGATCTGCAAAAATAGTAGATTTCCCGTCACCTGATCTCGGGCTTGAGCGTGAGTCCCTGCACTTCCTTTTGCGCCTCCTCCGCGCGCTTCTGCTCCGCCAGCTTGCGCCGCTGCTCCGCCTGGATCTTGCCCTCCACGTACAGCAGCTCGCCGTAGTTCTCGTACTCCTTGGCCGTGCGCCCGCGCATCATCTCCTCCGACTTCTGCACGGGGGGACAGAATAGGCAAATGTTGAACTGCTTTTGTTTTTCCCAAAGCCCCTCTAGCGTTGCTCCAATTCAGGAGCATATATTGATCTTCTACCTCCTGGCCGTGCGGGTGCGCATCATCTCCTCCGATTTCTGCACGGGGCAGAGAATACTGAGACGTCACTGCATTAACTTGAATGCGAATGCCTCTAAAGCTCACTACGGTTAACGAAAGTTTGTAGTGCTCGCACTCTTGGGCTGTGCGACCTTACACCTTTTCCTTGGGGTTCTGCGTGTGGGGCAGACGAAGGCTGTAGTTTCTCATGAACATGTTGACCATACATCCCTACTCAGATGGTGCCTTCATGTGGTTTGCAGAAATAGCAGTCCAGCGTGGTTCTCGTGGCTCTTTCGGATTTGAGGGCGTTCAAAGCGGAAGATACGCACTCCAGAACCGCGAATTGAGGTCGTTATAACATGGAAAAGAAGCAGTTCAGCGTTCGAACTCGGCCGTACCTTGGAGATCTTGACCTTCTGCCGCCCGATCGCCTCCTGCTTGGCTTGCTCCAGCTTGCGCTTCTCCTCTTCCAGCTTCTGGTGCTGCCGCTCGCAGTCCTCGAAGAGACGCGAGTACACCGTACGCTGCACAATCCACACGGTGTGTAAAGACTTTGCCTTTACGAATTTGGCGACTAATAAGTTCTTCGGAGTGTGCTCTGTTGTGGGACGGGGCGTTCAGGGAACATCTTCCAAGTCAGCAAAGGCCTGGATTCACAGACTACTTTCGCATATGCAAACAGGTTCGTCCAGATCTGTATGATTGTAAATCAGTGGTGATGCACAACCAACATCATGCGTTTGATTGCTGAACAGGAAATTGTCCGTTGTTCAGCCGTTATGCCAGCCAAGCAACCTCACGTCGGCCCACATTGGTTTTGTTTGAAATGTGCGCATCTTCTAAAACACCATGCGGGGCCAAGGAAAAAGAAAGTAGTCACCAAGGAGAATAAAGTGTTAAGGTAGTCACCTCGGACGACTCATAGGACGGCGCGCTTATTGGCCTCGTCGGCTTCTCGGTTCCCTGCGCCCCCTTCCCCTTGGCCGCGCTCGCTTTCGTGGGGCGCGTGAGCCGGTCGTTTGGCGGCCGCTGAGTGCGCCCAGTTGAACCCACCGACCGCTGGGACACACTCTCGGTCACGGTCTTGACCTGCTCGGTGACCGTCTGCTCCTCCTTGGTGACTTCCTGATACTCAACGGTAGTCTCTTCGGTTGTTTCCTCGACGTTCTCGGAGACGCCGCCACGGGCTCTGCAAAAGGAGAGGCGAAAACGATGAAGCAGATTGCGTTACTCATAAAGATGTCTTGCACAACGATCCGGGCAATCTTGGTTGACGGCTATTCTGGATATTTCCAAACCCCTTCGTATGCCTTCTGTCCGTTCTCGCCTCGTGTTTTTGGAATTGAACCTTTCCACAGTGTATCATTTCCGTGCAGACTTATAACTTTGGGAGTGGGAAAGCGCTCACTGCCTGTGCTCAATGGCTCAGCTCCATAACGCCCATTCACATCGTAAAGCTTAGACCAGAAACTTCACACAGAAAACAGGCACGCTGGGATGCAGCTTATCCTCTCTGCTGATATTAACAAATTAACAACGAGCAGGAAGCTCGGGACTGCTGTGGAAATGCCGACTGAAGACCTGACGTCAGCACTGTCCTGAACTGTGCACAGTCTGTCCAGGACGTGCTCTGCGCCATCCCATCTTGGACTCGTCCCGCCCGTAAAAGTGGACCCCAAAGCTTATTATGCAACCCTTCTGATTCCGACACGCAAGATTACGTCAGCAAAAAAAAACCCTCTAGATCACCCACCCCAGCTGCAAAATGTTGTTGAGGCTTTGCTCCGTCAGCCCCCCGGAGCATTTGTCACCCGTGCCCCCCAAAAAAGTGGACCCCACACCCCACAAAAAACACGAAAGATCCAACACACAAGATGACGTGAGAAAGGACGATGCTCATCTGAGCTGCAAAGTGTTGTCGAGTTTATGCTTCGGCAGCAACTCCACCTCGAAGTCGTCGCAGGCAGCCCTTGTCACAAAAGTGGACCCCAAGAACTTACCAAGAAGATGATAGAACGGAAGACGTAAGATGACGTCAGACGACCCACCTGAGCTGCGCGATGTTGTCGAGGATATGCTCCGTCAGCGGCTCGATCACGGAGTCCTCCAGCCCGTGTTCCGCACAGAACTGCACCGCCAGCGCGCGCGGCGAGTCGCCCTCGCGCATCTCGATGCGGTCCGCGCGCCCCTCCTCGATCTCGACGGTGATCACCAGCTGGATCCGGCGCGCATCCGCGGGAGCCGCGTCTTCCGCATACTCTGTCTCTCCAATCTCTGCGTTTTCGCCTTCTTCCTGCTGCAACCCCTCTTCCTGCTGCAGCTCCTCACCCCCTTGAACCTCATCGCCCTCCCATGTTTCTCCGTTTTCCGGCTCGCCCTCCCCCTCCTGTTCCCCTTCCAGCTCCCCCCCGTCCATGTCCGTTTGTTCCTCTACGAACTCCCCCTCTGCCGCTGTTTCCTCTCCGAATGTCTCGTCGCCTCCCTCGTATTGCTCCTCGGCAGCCCCGTCCGTTTCGGTGTACACTTGAGTGTCCTCATTGTATTCCTGCTCTTCCTCAAAATACTCTCCCCCCTCGGCTTGCTCTGCTGTTTCCTCTTGATACTCGTACTGAGAAGAACCAACGGGAGATGCAACAAGGCGTCAGAAAGAGGACGAGCCAGCCTAAGAACGCTTTCGCCAGAGCATGTTGTCAAGGTTTCCAGTACCCAAATATACAGGTTGATGGCTGGCTGGCTGCCGCCCACGTTTGACACCACGGGCAGTTGACAAGTGCGAGCGGCAGGGACGCCTCAAATTGGAGGACCAGCAGATCGACCGGTTTCACAGTACTGAACTGTCAAGGAACACCGCGTGTCACGTTCCGTGTCAGACTGCAGCCTACCCATCCAAATTGAAAAAAGGAGAAGTGAAATAAACCCCAGTAAGTGAGTCATCTCAAGCACAGTGACAAAGTACGTGACAAAGAGTTTTACGTCGTCTCATTCAGAACGCAAAGTGCGGCACAACCCATGCTTTTCAACGTTCCAGGACCTACCTGCTCCTCTTCTGCTGCGGTTTGCTGCTGATCGGATTCATATTCAGCTGCAGAGAAACAGATAACAGAGGCTGCCAAACGAGAGCCACAAGAAGGTATCTGCAACCAGTGTATTCCATGGCAACATGCATGTGAGGAGTTCCCGAGGCAGGTCATAGGAAGCAAAGCCAGCGGACTTTTGGGTGCATTTGATTCCACAGAACATATTAGAGGTCTTCCAATGAATCCATCTTACAGAAGATTCTTGTGACTACAGAAATCTCAGAACTTAGCCCGTGCCTGCTCAGGTGCACCAAATAATCTGAGACCAACCAAGGAACTTGCTTGTGAGATATCCTGACATGACCGAGAAAGCACGAAAACCTGTCTACGCCCTCTCAAAGCTGTCAACAAGAATGGCCTGCCAGCGCTACTCCGTCATTGGGTTGCTCGGGCCCAGTATCACGTAAGAAACCCCTGGTATGGGCGCTGTTTCGAGGTTGGTACTAAGCTTGGCCGTTACAACTAAAGCATTCAGACTCACCTGCCGGATCTGGAAAGGCCCCGAGGGCTGTGGCCACCATAACGTCTGCCATTTGAGCTGTAAATTCGGAGAAATGACCACTTTATGGCAGGGCAGGTACTATCAGCTTAAGTGGGTGCATTGGAGAGTTTTTCTTCTTTCTCCGTCACATTTCGACCAACAAAATCCCAATCGCATCCCCAATTATGCATGTCCAGATCCCGACGTTGGAAAGTTGCGTCCCATATCTCTTTCTTCTACATGGGTTGATGACACTTTACCCCCATGCAGCCGCGCTTTCGACAAAAACGTCTCGGTGTCACTTTTGTCCAACCCCAACATGTCAACTGTCATGATTTCAACACAACACATAGTTGGTTCATGTGAGTTTGTGGCCTAACTCAAGCATACTAATAAGTACAGATTGTCACGTTCGATCTCTTCTCCAGGACGACAGTGTAAATTTCGGACCCGTTTAGTGCCCTAGACGGCCTGGTTGAGAGCACATGATCAAGCACTTCAAGCAGCGATTTGTAGAGTGCAAGCTGGAGAGATAGATCTCCCTCACCTTTCACTGTTTTGCTGAAGCTAAGTGCACAGTCTGCTCTCGTTTTATCGCTGCAACCTTAGGCCTCTCCAGGAGCCCGCCGCTTTCCGGCACAGGGCTTCTTATCTTCGCAACTTGCAACCCTCTGGCGACTTAGCAACGCGCTCTGAGAAACCCTTGGTAGCCAAACCAACCCTCACAGAATATCCATGCTGCTTGTACGATCACCGCGGGCTCCTCCATAGAGCCGCCCGACTATCTTGCATTCTCTCCGCATTCTCTGCCACTGCAAGCACTCAAACATCTTCCCAAGAGATTCCTTGCCGACTCAGCATTGCAAAAACTTCCGAGAAAGGCGATCCAAGATCGCGTCAACCCTGCTTAGACTAGGTACCTGGTCTTCTCTCAAAAAGCAGGCCAGTCGACATTTACAAAATAAGACGGCGACTTTTCGCCTGATGCTGTGCACAGAATACGAGCATCTTTTGCCAATCGGTCAGCTGAAGTACAAGTATAACCTCCAAGCAGCGTAGCTAGAGCCTGAGGTTGCCGCAGTCCGAACAGTGGCTGCCTTGTACAAATCCGATCCACTGGTACTAAAACCCGCTTTCATGCACTGCTCTTTACTGGCTGGGCCAACCGTTCCGTAACATCGACGGGGTCGTGCGACGTCGAGTCGCGCGCGCAGAATGTCAAATATCTGATCATTCAACCAATTAATTACGTCAGCCGGGCCTCGGCCCGCGCTGCCCGGCGAACCCGGCCGGCCCACTCGCGGCCGCCGCGGCGCCGCCCTTGCGCGGCCGCGCAACCAACTGTGCCATTACTGGTACTCGTGACAAATAGGGCTGCATTACCTCGTGAATTTGTCTCCTGGCGCCCTCTTAGGTACATGAAGCACTAACACCCAGCAAATCAACGAGAAAGCACTGGCTCCAAGTTTCGGTTAAGTCGATCACAGAAAAAGGTGCGCATTTAGTGAGGACATTCTGACATTCAATTGCAGCACGCCCTGGCGATATTCGCCAGGGACCAAAGATCAGGAACGCGGATGTAGGATGCCAAAACTGCAAAAGCTCTTGCTAGGCACGACTTAATAACCGTCGCTGACTCTGAAAGCATACACGAACCGGCGACGAACTTTGAAAGCACGCAAAAATGGACCAGAAAATGTTTGGAAGCTCGATTAAAAAGGGTCTCGAACAGATTGTTTTGGACCTTTTGCTATTAATGCCCCGACCTGAGAAGACCGCATCAAGACAACAGATCATGCCGCCTTGACACCGGGTTCGTCCCTTCCACAACACCTGCAAACGAGAAGAGCCGGGACTTTATGAGAACAAAGAAAGCCCCTCGCCGAATCCAAACATGTCGTTTGTCTGAGCTGGACGCAGTCAGATACCCTGAAATAACGAACCTGCTTGTGAGCGATCGAAGCAGATTCTGAGGGCAATCAGCCCTGCAATGATGATGGAGATTTTCTCAGGTTCGACAATGATATGAAGTTATGTCATCCAATTGAACTGACTCCAGGTTCGGGTGTCGGCCTGAAGTACATGATCAAGCCCATTCGTCACCGGTATGTGAGGGCCCGACCGACCTTATAATTATATGTGTACATCAAGTATTCTTCTGAATTCAGGGTTCAGCACTCCCGTGAATTGCCGGCGGAAAGGATCGACCCTGTAAGTTGGCCTAAAAACAAGATCAAGCAGAGAACCGCCCTGAATTCCGCAGCCAAAAAAGATCAAGGAAAGACCGGAATTCCCACCGCTTGTATTTCTTCTTGGAGCCACAGGGACACAGGGCATTCCGTGGAACACGTGCAGCTTTTGGCGCGGGCTGTGCCGACTGAGTGGCGGGTCGGGGCGCGCCGGGACGAGGCAGCGTGCCCATGTTTTCAGCGGCAAACTTTTGCATCTGCAAGAATGATTAAATCTGCTTTCAAGGTGGTGTTCAATCCCGCTTCTGACGGCGACGTACTTGCAGCTTGTTGAGCTTTTAATGAGACGATTGCCCCAGAGCTTCAAGACCGTCAGTCTTGGCTGCTTGCACGCACTGAGAGATCCTTAGAGAGATTGTCTACGTACAAGCTTGTAGTTCAAAGCAGTCTTGAAACGCTGAAAAACTTGGAGCACACAAAAAAAAGAGGCAACGGATGGAGGTCGGAGCAGGAAGAGAACTATTGCAATGCAGCCTAAGAAGTAAACAAGATGCAGTAAAAGTGGTTGATGTTCTCCAGAAACTTTGAGGATTGCTTCCGATCAATCTGTTGAACCGCAGAGGGTTTTGACATACAGTCACGAAAATGCTAACCTCTTCGATCGTTTTAGGCATCGGCTTCCCTTCCCGCTTCATCTGCGCGAGCCTGTCGGACGTCTGCCTGGCTACGTCATACTGCGTCATCATGTCATCCACGTCCTTCGGAGTCAGCCCCACCGACTCCGCAAGAGAAGCTTTCCTTGCTGCATTCAACTGTAAAAGAGGGGAACGAAGTGGCTTAGCTATCTGTATCCAATACAGAGATGACACTATCAGATATGGAACCGCTTTGTGGACTGTCGAAAGCTGCTCGGTCTTTAGAGAAGTGTTCTTGGAACCAAGCATCCCTAAAGTAAACCTGTCCTTTTGACAAGCAGAAAGCTCAGAGGAGAAACGTTTGATTGAATTGGATCCAAAATTTTCCTTGCCCAAGCTTCCTCGTGTCCGGAGGATCCCTTAAAGTACCAATTGTGAATCTTCTGCTGCTCGTCAGATGCAAATCTTCTAATGATCGGCACCTTCACTTCGTTTCGAAGTAAAATTGCTTCATAGATGGAAACTGCAAGCTGATAAATTGTGGTGGAATCGTCAACGACAAAGGAAAGCACAAATTCTCGAAGTGGAATTGGATCAGACAAGTACTCGGTGAAAACAGCGCATCACTTTCGGCAGGACAAACCTACCTAGGTTGCTAAGCTGTGACTAACCTTTTGCAGATCTTGCTTCTCCTCTGCGCTCATGGCCCCCAGAATCTTCTCTGAATTCTCAAAGAGCCGGAGCATTGCTCGCGCTTCAACTGACTGAGCCCGCCCCATCAGTTGACCAACGCCGGCAAAGCGGCGTGCCTGCTTGATCTGGGACTCAAATCCTGTGAACAGGGGAGACAGGTGTGCAACCAACCAATACTAACAAATTCGCAGATGTTGGCGCTTTCACCACTTCGTTCGTGACAACGATACAGACTATGTGAGGCCGAACGAACTCTCAAATTCACGCAAGAGAAGGGGGCATCATAGAACTTGAAGGAACCAAGAACAAGGGTGCTGATATTTTTTTGGGGAAAGAGCTTACTCCGTTATAAGTAGTTTTTAACCAATGGTTTCTCCTGAAGATAAGGTCTGATCTGCTTCACACCAGATGGGGTACACAGTTCAGTAATAAAGAACCTCCTTTTCCTAGAATCAATGCAGAATGTTGCTTTCGTCGAAGGAAGGGAAGACCTCATGCTATCACTGTGACATAAGCTGTTCAGATATCAAGTGAAAAAGTCTGGTCGTCAGGCGACTAAGGGAAGGGGAAAAAGGATAGCCGTCTGAGACGCACGGAGTTTCAAAAGATGGAATAACGAGGTAAGGTTAGGAGCCTTACTTTCCAGCGTGAATGCCTCATCCTGCTTCTCTTCGTTCTTCTTCCCCATACCAAGCATCCCCTTCATACGCCCAAACCAGGAGCTTCCAGAAGTCGATGGCGCTGAACTACCATCCGCTGAGTCATCGCTTCGTTCGCTAGACGAAGATTGGGGCGCTGAGGTGGCGAACGAGTGGTGGTACGGTGGTGCGTGGTGGTATGGAAGTGCGCATGAAGTCGAAGAATCGAATGCACCAGAGAGTTTTGCGACTGGAGAGGGAGGAAAACCTCTCTCCTTGGAATGCTCCGAGCGGCCATCAAAAACTGATTGACTTCCTTTTGCATTCGGCCAGTTCCTTCTCAAAACTCTAGCTGCTGAAGTTTGTGGGTGGAGCGCCTCTTCAGCAGAATCCGCTGCTTCAGCTCCACAGGGACCCTGCCTTTCCAAAGAGTACGCCATCATGAGCAAACTGTGAAGTAGATGCCGAGAGGAAGTCGGTCCTGTAATCATACCACCCTCATCTGTTCCTGCCATCGATCCACCAGCTTCACATGACATCGTCACCAAGCCCCTTTCATCCTGTAATGCTGGCCAGTTCCTGACTCCAGCCACATCAAGCACCCATACCCTGAAGATTGCGGTTCTGCTTGCGCTGCAAATGGAGCTCAGCCGGTGTGGTGTAATCGAAAGCATGGCGAAGTCAATTCAGCAGCGCAATCAGGAGCTTTATGCCCGCACTTCCGGACTAAAGCGGTCCTGTGCTTCTTCTACCCTTTTCGATGCTTCAGGGGATCAAAAAGGCATTGTCATTGATGAGGATGTATGGAATGGAAGAATACAAGACCTGTCACGAATCACCACCATGGCATGTGGCATCAACTGATGAAGGGCCACCAATCAAACTTGCAGGCCACGAATTGGACAGGTCTATTTCTAGGGTCTCAAATTGGGACTAGGATCTGGTTAACATTTAACCGTCACAGCGTATGCTGTGCACAATCGCGCCGAGGTTTGTCTCAAAAGCCTCCTTTGCAAACCCACCTCAGTTAGAACAGAACCAGCTTCGAAATGGGGCAACTGTCACATGAGGTGCCTGCAGAAACTTTGCGCAGATCTCACATGGGACTTCAGCTTCTCTATCTTGGCGCCTTAATTGGCAACCTTCAGGCTTCATCAAAGTTGGTGCATAAGGTGCATAGTAAGACGTTTAATAGGGTAGCCCATAAAGTCCCACGGAAGAGCAGACGCATCTGTTGTGCGTCGTCGACAGGAGCTCTTTGGATGCAAAGCATCTAGCTGATTGCTGAAAGAATGGACAGTAAATACGCAGTCTGGGGGCATCGATTATAATTAGCAGGAGAGGATTGGAAGAGGATTAAACGAATGCTCATTGCGAAAGCAGTATTCACACGGAACCACCTCGACGAGTAAGTAGTTACACAGGGCAGGGCAATACAAGAACGAAGAGTCGGCACAATGGTCGTCTGCAAATGTCGGAAGGTGAGATGATCCTCGAATTGATCTACCGCCGGGTCAGGATGGGGCTGTTGCGCATAGGTTTTCGAATAGATCGTGGAAGGCTCTGGTTCTACATGGATCATCTTGACTCTTCTGAGGTCGTGTTCTTGCGGCAGCAGCTGGTCAGGGACACTTGATGGCAGTTACAGATAGTCGTACAAAGCAGAATGTTCAAATCCATCTGCATTTTGGAATTGCAGAACGTTCTGTGGTTGATAGGAACATAAATATAGGGCTTACTTTAGAACGGGAGCCTGATATGACACTGACGGTTTGGCCTCACTTGGTTCAGCTCTCCCAGTACTTGTTTGCGCAGATGATGCCGCGCAGATGATGCCCTGCTTAGCTACAGAGGTTCATCATCTGATATCATTGCGTTCCTTCAATGCTTTGGCATTGCATCCGGAGTCTTCATACCCAGCTTTCGTCTTAGCAAGTACTTGATGCTCTGTGCAGGCGACCAAGCTCTACTGCTTTGTACATAAGGTGCCAGTGTGTGGAGAGTGCATCAGTGCTCCTGAGCACGCGCACTGTGTGGTGAGCTTGACCTGGAATTCCTGCTAAACTTTGTGTTTCAAAGGGCCTTACTTACAGAAGTCGTCGTAGAGGCGGATGCCGAAAGTTGCATTGCTTTATGCTTTGAGTGCAAATGTCCTGAAGTGAAGCTGAGCGAAGTCCAGAAGGAAGTCGAAAGAATGTGCTTTCAAAGCCCTGTGGGCCTGGGAATTGACTTGCTTGTGAAAGCCCCTTCAGAAGCAATAATGCAACCTGCCCACAAGAGTTTGCGGAGCTTGCAGGGGCCAGAAATTCGAGCGAGAGGCAGATTCTGGTACGGGACTGTTTCAGACCGCCCTCATCTCACCAGCAGGACGTGCTAACGCCGCGATTGCAATGCAGGTCCGCACATACTCCGAATGGGTGATTGACGGTGATTATGACTGGCCGCCAAAGTGTCCAGTCTGTCAGGAGAACTTGGAGGAGTCCCAGAAAGAGACGGTCCGCCTGGGGTGCCTGCGTAAGTTGTAATGAATGGCGGCAGGCCTCAACTTCCTGAGCTTCTGAAAGTGCACGATCTTCAGTTGAGATCAAGCATCTTGCGGAAAAGCTCGTCTTTGGTGTCTTAGCGGCGCACTTTTGTTGGTTGCATCCTATACCAAAGTCCCCCTTGGCATGTCCAAAAACATTCATAGTCCCTCCTTGCCTTCATTCATCTGCTCTACAGAGAGAAAGACGCAGGAGGCGGATTTCGGAGAATATGTCTAGGACACACAATTTTGAAGCAAATAGTTCTGAAGCGGAGCCTTTCTATCTTGTCACAGACGTGTTGCACGTGGACTGCCTTGAAAAGCACCTTCAAAGCTTCCCGCCCTACACAGCCCCAGCCGGTTTTGTCTGCCCAACCTGTAGCGTCCCTCTATGGCCCCCTAAGTCCATCAAGGATGCGGGGACCACCCTCTTCAACAATCTGAAGGGGGCTCTAGCCAAGGTGAGACTGAGCTCAAGTGTTTTGCACCGCATATTTGACCCTTAGCATTATCTGTAGCATCAATAGAGACTGCTCTGGGGCTGTGACTTTGATCAGCCTCTGGCGGCCCCCTCCTCGCTTGCAAATCCCTGGTAAAAACGACCGGAGACTCTCAGTGGTTGGGTAGTCCTTGATTCTCCAGTCCGCCAGCGCAGACCGAGGTTAAACCAAGAGCATCCTGTTGACTCAAAATACAATTGGAAGCAGGCTGGTTATGTAGTGCCTCTATGTCAACTGTCTGGTATGCCACCTGCCTGCATCCCTGTCATAATGCGTCGTTTTGGCAAACTCCAATGCAAGTCCTTGTATAGATGTAGTCTCTCAGCAGTTGCATTCACTCTCTGACACATCTCCTCTTCTCTCTTTAGAGCTCTGTTGCGAATACTCTGCTGGGCCTCGACAACCCCATTCCCGCAACGTCAGAGACACAGAGTGCAGTACCCTCAGTCTCCAGCCCCTTGACTCAGGCGTCGCAGTCCAACCCCCCGCCCAAGAATGCACCAAACGGCGCAGCGCACAGCGAGATAGAGTGAGGATGACCAGCCTCTTTGTAAAATAGAACAGAAGAGGGACATCGATTTAGTGCCATGGTAGCCTGACAAGTTCGAGAGACGGGGTGCTATCACGCTCGCCTGTGTGTGGTTCTGAAAGCATGCGCTCCAACGCAATTGTCAGTTCGCCGAACGCTGTTGACTGGCCTCAGTCTCTACTGTACTTGCTTGTTGGGTTCTGAATGACAGAAGTCGCGGACGGCCCCGGAAGCCCCAGCAGCTGCTACCCCAGCAGCTGCTACATCACAGTTGAGTATCGCTTCCGCTTTTTGGTTGACTTCAGTCTCTGACTGTCCCGACGTACAAACGAGGGCTTCGGATCACAGGCAGTCTGTGACCCAGCTCTGACCATCAGTCACGCCGTTCCGACTTGCAGAGAACAGGAGGCCAGCAGCAGCGTGGTGGCCAGCAGTCGGATAGAGGCGATCAAAGAGGCGGCCGCCGAGGCGGAGGCGGCCGCAGGGCCCCCGCAGGCGCGCACGCCGTATCTGCCGGGGGGGCACCCGCAGTCTTCTCCCAGGGCGCATCAGAAGATCGATATGGTGAGGGGATGGTCGCTTTTGGGGTAGCGTCCCAGATCCTTGCCTCTGCTTGCAACGGACTAGAAGCGCCAGTCGAGTCCCCTCGAAAGACCCAATGGCGCCTGCAAACTCCCACCAATATCTCGACCGACTTTTAGACATGTTCCAAAGCAGCCGTTAGTGCCGTGAGCGCTGGCGTTGGGGATTCAAGTGGGCGTCTGCCTTTGCAAGTGCACCCGGACATCTGCATGGTGTAAACAATCGAGTTGAAGCTTCCGGACGTCTCACTTTCAGCCTCCTCAAGCCTTTTTCAGGACTTGGTCCCACTAGTGTGCTACTATACCAACGCCCACTTCAAGAAGAAAAACATGTTTGTTATTCTAATCGCCTCTTTACTGCTGTGCTCTGCAGCTGTCCCGGGAGCGGCGGAATTCGATGAAGGTGCATTCCTCGGTGGACGTTCCAGAAGACTATGACGAGGACGTCGAGCGCAAGTATGCAAGACGAGGTGAGCGATTTCGCTTAAACATCTCAGTGTGCATTGTAAATGTTAGGTAGTCCTGGTTGCATTGGTCACCATGCTTGTTCCCGTTGTTCTTGTATTGCCGCTTTCCTGTCTCCTCGATCTTTGAGCAGCTCGCCCTGTCCATGAGCAGCACATGCTCTGTGTAGAGTCTTCATCCGGCGAGACAGCAGGATCCTCTTTGGACGTAAGAAAGTCATACTCCTCTGGATGAGTCACTACGGGGATCCTACAGGACGAACGTCGTGCAAGACATGTCGGTCAGACGTGTTGCGCTCTCCAAGTCGCTTCCCAAGTAGCGCCATGGTTCTCCAGTTTGGAAACAAGTAGCGCTTCTTAGAGCCGCAATTCTGACACCTAGCGACAGAACGCTTACATCAATGACGGAGTGAATGTAGCAGTGCTTGTCAGCTGTGATTCTTGCGCCTGGCAAAATCGGATTAGTTCTCCGCATCAGCTTTCTCGCATATCAATTTGTCCGCCTCGAATATCACAAATAGTCTTCGGTACTTCTTCAGGTCCGTGGTATCTGCGGACGCTCCAGCGCGTGCTCCCTTCTAGTTGGACGTCCGCCCAGGTCCTTCCGGTGACCATGCCCGGCAAGGACCACCCGAGGGGCGACTCTGCGGCTGCGGACGACCTGATCTCCGGCCAGCGGAGAAGGGCGCTCAAGAAGGGGCTCAAGAGCTTCAAACTGGACATGCGCCGGGGCCTGGTTACATTTGCCGTCCTGTAAGAATCATTTATAGCTCTTAGATATTGATTGTCCGATCAATCTGTGGCAGTACTTCTGTGTCTGCCTCGAAGATTCTGGCTGTTGTTGCGAAGATGTGGCGTCTGCATTTTTCTTATCACTGTTGTACAGGGTACACAAAGTTGACTGCTCCTGAAGGGTTTCACCGCTTCACCGCGTGATGATACGATGTTCTGACATCTTGAAATTTATGACCTTGTCAAACGCGGTCTACTTGAGTTTCCTAACGTACTTTCTGCAATCTGCATGCAGGTCGTCTCTGGCAACGCTGCTTATCTTGTACATGCGTCTGGCTGCCTCTATAGTAACTGAAGGAGACACAGTGATTGGATAAAATGTGGTCCAAGCGGTGTGTATACAGACGTCACCATGTAGGATGGAAGATGCTACAGCTACTAGCCGCTAAGGGACTCTGTTTATCTCGAATACTACGGCTGTGGACAACTATAGGAAAGAAGTTTCAAACCGTCCTTCTCTTTCCGGTGACTATCGGGAGACTCGAAACAGTGAATACCCACCAGCTATGGTGTTGCTAGTATCACAATCACGTACATGCTCATGTGCAGAGTATTCTGATCGGTCACCTGAACACCATTATGATAGTCCTCCGGCAGATTGTGAATAGTATGATCAAATTGTCGAATTTCGATGGATCTTATTAATCAGGGAGAATATGGCTAGCTACGTGACCGGAGGTGGTCACTCAACGCGTTCCATATCCATGGCCTACTACTAAGCGTGAGTCCTGTACTGCCGGATGACGACTTGCAGCTTTGTACAACCAGGGCCAACTGTTTTAAGTAGTCACCTGGGCCGGATCATTCAGCATGGTTAGATAGAATTTTCGAAATTGAACGCGGCGGCCGCCACCAGCTCATGTGAATACCACGTGCCGCATGACAATCATCGATAATAAGTATATACAAAAGTATGAATGACACTGCATGTCTGCATATGCTGCATCCCAATTGCAGCATGCCGCGGCCGTATCTCCATGAACTCAATCAGAAAAATCTCAATTTCCGGCAATTTAATTCCAAAAAGGCGGCCCGCTTGAATCAAAAGTACTGCAGAATCTAAATAGGAGAAGAATACAGTAGCCAGCCCGCGGGCTTGTGCTTGAGGTTCAAGCCGTTGACACGTTGAGCTTCCATCGAAATTAACATCTGTATATCAAAGGATGCTGGACTGACATGAACAACGAACAAGCCAAGGAATAATATCATAGTATGTATATTGAAGAACCTCGACCACTGAAGTACAATCGAGCATGCCAGAACAAAACGTACATTTATTGCAGTACATTGCATAACTTGGCATGAGGATGAGGTGCTGATGTGTAGGCTAGCCGTTGATCCTGTCACATAACGATGTGAAACCCGCCGAAGGAGCCAGTCCGTCTGCATTAGCAGCTTTATTCGAAGTTTATTCGCCTCAGCAATGAGGTCCGCATTGCGCTTAAAGACTACAGAGTGCTTCCGTTCAGTCTCAAGGTCTTGGTATCTTTTCTTGAAATGCTTTTTAAATAGCTCCCATGCCATCCGTTCTTCTCCTTTTGCCCAGAGTTCTTGGATGAGAAGATTTTGTTCAAACCTCGAGCGCCACTCGCTGAGCTGCTTCTCCGTTTCGGAATCCTCGTGATTGAGTCTATAGACAAATCCTCACATTACATCCTCACAGTGACGTCAACCTGTCCACCAGCGCGGCCCAATAGCGTACATGCAACTAGCTTCCACTTTCAGTATCGGAATTTGGGTATGCGCTTTCAAAACCGGAAGCAAGTACACAAATTAAAGCACTCAAGCCAAAAGGCTTTCGGTAGATTTAATACGAACACAAGGAGGATATATTCTCACATGTCAACTTCGAGGCAATCTTCTTGTTAATCTTCGCTTGTCTTCCTACCGGTATCTACAGTAGCTCTGCTGCTCTGCACATGATGCAAGATGGATCTACCTATGTGTGGAACTGCCTAGAAAAGCTTTCATGACATGGCCGGGCTCGAAGGCTGTCGCCCCGCTGTCGCCGAGATTCAACCCGTCGGACGAAGCGTCACCTTGCACCGAGGAAACTGCCGCCACATGCTAGACCATATTAAACCGTATTACGAGACACTAATAGAACTGCTAATCACGGGAGCATAACCGGCACCCCGGCCTGCCCCGTTCTTCAAAAGCCCTATCTTTGAGGGCGACATGCAAAGTCTGATGTACAATGCGCCTGCGCTGGCCTGCCAGCTGGCAGTGGAAACCTGGAGCTCGATCAATTGGCAAATCCCCGGCAAATCGCAGCAGGACTCAGGAGTGCATCTGCGCCGTTGCCCTGTTGAAGCGGCTTCCTCTTTGAATCGTGTAGCTCATTGGGAGGCAGGAGACTGTCTTTCTCTCTTTGACTCTTGCGTATTTTACCAAGCTCTAGAAAGATGGCTTCGCAAGGCAACGAGCTCAAGGCCTTCAAGGTGCTTCCGATTGTTATTGACTTCCAGCCTAGCGTGCAGCTGAAAGTGACGTACGGATCATCGGAGGTCGTCAATGGAGTGGCGCTGAGGCCGGAAGGGACACAGGAGCCGCCAAAGGTCAGGTTTCACGTTGAGTATTAATCTGGCATTGCAAGAATGAGGAATGATGGAAGCAGGGGCTTGTTGTTGTTTTGAATGATAAGCTGAAAGGAAGGCTTTGTACTTGCATGCATGCAAAATCATCATCTACTCTTGTGCGCTTTTTGTGCTTTTTTGCTCAGACGATGCCCCAGGGTTTTTGACCAATCCTCAATCTGTTTCTTTGAGCGCTTCACATTGCCCTTCCGTTGAGATCTTAATGAATGGCCTCTGTCTAGTCACTTCATCACACCACTCAAGGGTGGTGCTAGGGCTGATGGGGCTTGTTACACAAGTGGTAGCAACCATGCAGCATTATGTTTTGCAGTGCCCTTGAAACTTTCGAGGTCTTTAGCAAGGCGCTCCAAACCTTCAAGCTTTATAGAACACTGTACGCGATTGATGGTGGTCCTCTCTTTTATTGTGACGCCACTAAACCAGGAAAGATGTTTCTCATGACCACTTAGCTAGCTGCTACGCCTTACTATAAATTTTAGAGGTTTATGAGAATCTTGCTGAAGAAGAGTGAGTATTCTGGTTGCACCCTGCTACAGGTCAACTCCATATGGCCCTTCTAAGTTGAAATTTTCCTTAGGCACCGCTGGCAGACTACAGAAGTATGTTCAGCCGAGGGGAACAGAGCACAGCGATTTGCGGACAGGTCGAGCAACCACTCACAAGCATCGGATCTACAGCTTCCTAAATGAGACTCACCGAGCCCCACGATATGGTCCGTGCCGGGTTGAAATTCAACCCTATGGCTAACCACACAGGTTATCATCTCCGGCCATGTTGAGAAGGATGCAAAGTACACACTGGTGGTGACAGACCCTGACGCCCCCAGCCCAGACGACCCCAAGTTTGCAGAGTTCCTGCATTGGATAGTTGCCAACATCCCAGGGTCAGAGGCGGCGGAGGAGAAGGGTAAGCTTAACCCATCCATTTACTAACCTGGAATTGTTGACCCCCAGAATCTAAACCATTCACACCTCCTGTGTGGGCCCTGGGTGGTTTGTGACAAGAGATGTGGACAAGATCGTGCATTGGATTGTGGCCAACATCTCGTCAGCGGCGGCAGACGGGAAGGGAAACTGTCCCAGAGTTTCCTCTCTTTCTTGATTTGGACCTTTCAAACCCAAACCTTTCAGATTCAATAATCCGGAACGAGCTCCTGGTGGTGAACGAGAACGGGTCACCTGGAGAAACTTGCTTCCAAACGATGCTAGGTTCAAGACCATCAAGGATCAGATGATTCCCAGAAGCAGCCTACATCAGAGGGTTTGTAACCACAAAGAGGATCTTGAGACTGCACATACACAGCTCTCCGACTCTCTGATGAAATCAGGCCATGTTCTCTGACATCTCTGTTCGGATTGGTTTTGTTCGCGCTCTCGTGAAAGATTCTTTGGAATTTTAGTCGGTAGATCGCCTTTGAACAGCAGTTTTTCGAACAAGATGTGCTGGACAGTATGTTTTTTTTGGTCATCTGTGGCATGTGAATCACTTGCCAACCGCTGTGCAAAGTATTTGCTCCGGCAGTTGAGAACGCAATTATCGTATCAACGGGCACGACCCCTACTGGTATTCGGTTGCCAGATTGGTTAGCTTAGGACGATTGTTCCTGCAAGGATCTTCCCAAGCGATTGCTCGACGTTGTGTATCAGCCTCATCACTCGCATCGACCAGAAAGTATATCTGTGTCTCTAGCCTCCCATTGGCGGTTTAATCACACGCAAGTACACTTGTCTTTTAAGCTAAATTGCGTGCCAGCATTCCAGTCTGATCTTACGAGCCCTGGTTGTCGATTTTGTCAAGCGCAGGCTGAGCTCTCTCTCTGTTCAGTCGACACGCAACGTGATTCCATTTTTGACTTCGCAGACATCTCGCATGCTGGCGAGGAGCTCATGCCGTACACGGGCCCCGCGCCGCCCATGGGCGTTCACCGCTACATCTTCATCCTCTTCAAGCAGTCTCAAGACGTGAGTGTGAATACCCACTCCTTCGTGTGCTTCATTCACAGACTATAAAACGTCTATTGGGAAGATGCTCATCAACTCCTCTTTCTCGTTGAGATCCATGAACCTGCTCGAAAGTGGTCACTGATGCGCAGTTGGTCGACCGATCAGCAACTCGGGAATGGCACACAGTTTGTACCCCGGACTTTAGATCTGTCTTCGCACTTTTCCCCCTGTTCCGACTCCCAAAAGAATGCTTCTCTTGTTTTGATCATACTCCGCTGGCCACTCATCAGTGCTGCGGCTTCAGTACTGCAGTACGCCTCAGAAAAATACGAGGTCGGAAACTGTTCAGTAACACAAAGGGCACCAACCGTCGAGGTATCGAGGCGAGACATCAGCGGTGCAGCTGAAGCAAATTACTTCAAGTTTCTAAGACAGCATAAGATGATTAGAATCTGTCGGAAGATGCTCTCGTCTCCTCTACCGTTTCTTGCACAACGGACTGCACGATGGCGCCTTTCAGAATTGGTGTGCGTAGGTTGACAATACAAGGAGCTCGCCGAATTGAGTTTCTTCTATCACCCAGTCCTTGCAATAAGAAACCTAGCGAGCCGTGCGTAAACTGTGCACGCTGACCGTTTTCGAAAGACCTTAACACGACCTGAGAAGATTAACGGTCAGATTGTTTACAGGTGCTCACAGCCCATTCCTCGAACTTAAGAGAACCATTGAAAGCAGATCTTGCCCTTTGTGGTCACAGAGATTGAATGTCTAAGCGTTGGCAAACTGCCAGCATCGGCGGACCAGAAAAGAAGTAACCCCTCTTTTTCCGTTCGTTCGTGCAGCTGTCCAAGGAGGCGGCCCCTGAGGATCGTAAGCTGTTTAAGGTCCGCCAGTGGGCCGAGGAGCACGGCCTGACGCCCGTCGGCATCGTCTTCTTCACCGCAGAGAAGGGCGGGAACAGGAATTAAGAGCGTACAGTTCGGCGTTTCGAAGTTTTGGTATACTCTGTGTACAATGATAAGCGCGCAGGCCCCTGTAAACAAGTAGAGTCACAAGCGAAGTCGAGGAAGAGCGGAAGGTGGAATCAAAAAGGATCGTCAAAGTGAGCCCCCTTAAAAATGCGACAATTTTGCTTGCCAGTACTGTAGACCCTTCCGTCAATGTCGTTGTAACTTAAGTTTAAGCTCCCAAGATATCATGTGCGTGCAATGCCAAGTCTTTCAACAAGCTTGAGGGCCGCCGTACACAGCACGCGAGCTTGATAGATCTGACCAGCCTACTTGCGAATCTATAATTGGACGCGCGACCGAGCGCGGCCGCGCGGCAACCATATCAATGATATGCACTTACATTTCAAGTTTCAGTTTCACTTGGTAACGACGGTCGTGTGTCAATCATGTGTCGTCCAACTTGGCAACTTGGCAACGAACACTCCTATAGCTTAGGTAGGAATGATAGTTTCTAGATAGGAAACTTAGAATATTCCCGGCCGGAGGAAAAAGAAACTATAAATCTAAACGTACCGACAAATACACCGTCGGCTCCGCACCCGTCCGGCCCCAGGATTACCCCACCCAACGGTTCGACGGTTCGGCGGTTCAACGGTTCGCCGCGGCGGCGGGTCATGACCATATCCTACGTACCTAGAACTAGATCCTGAACTATAGGTCTATATACGTCCAAAGGTTAGTGTATACTGGTCCTACAGACGCGAATAATCAACCGCTTGATCATGCGCTTGTACTTATTACAGGCGTTAATTATTAATATCTCGACTATATGACAAATGATATCATGTTCCCATGCAACTAAAGTTGATTACGTGCGCCCTTATATGCTGTCCCTCTGGCATGCTAGCTGCCCGGCCCGCGGCAGCATGTGGTGCCGCACCGTGTGGCACATGCATCAGCAAAGCTGCAAATATCCACCCTGAATCTTGAAATCTGTCACTGCGTGATGCACCAGTGACTTGGTGATAATCGGTCGACAAAACTTGAAAGCGGCCGCTTGACCTTAATGATTTGTTTTGAAAATGATGACATCGATCTGCTGTACGTCGGACGGTCACGAGTGCCAGGCCAACTATGATGTCGATCTGGAGAATAACTCACCATGCATGACGAGGTCTAGGCTCTAGCCCGGCTAGCGAACCCATCGACTATTTTCGAGTCGAAAATGTTGGATCCATCGGCGGACACCGTTCAAATTGAATGACCGAGCGTGATAGATTTCGGGTGCTGGTTTGCGAGTCGGCGTCCGACTCAGCAATCACGCTTTCCACGTCGCATACCAACTCGCGCTCAGGTCTGACATCGGCCCGTCTGAGTTGAGTCGAAGTTGAGGGCCTCTAACCAGCTGCATGGCATAGGACCCGCTCGCTCCGCCCCTCGTTCAAAATGTGTGCGTGCAGAGCTTTTCTCCTTCTCAGCTGTTCTGCACATTCAGTTTGCTTTCGCCCACGAAGCAGTTGCATATAGGTCGTTGAAGCGCAGCCGTTTGTGCCTTTACAAAGTCCGGGGCGTCTTCAGCTGTCCCGATGAGTCTTCTCGGGCATGCAGCGCCTCTCTCGAGGCGGTTCTTGCAGGGGCGCACCACTTTCTTTGGTGAACTCGCTTCTTCTTGCGGCTTGTCCAGAACCGCTAGGGTCTTTAATTCGTCTGCCCAAGTGCTTCCCGACTTTCTCTTCGAGCCGCGCCCGAAGAACGATCTTTGTAGCTTTACAGCTGTCACTACGAGCTCCATCTCTACTTCGCCCAGAAGCCCCACAGCCCGCCAGTCTGGTTCGCCGCTCCTCCATGCACTCAACAGAGCGCGCGCGTTCTCAGGGGAGCCCTACCAGCCCGCTCTGCGACATAAGCGCCGGGAGCATGACGTCTTCGATGACGTGGGCGTCGAGATGGCCGTCGATTTTCACGAGCTGCAGGCGTTCCGGATCTTCCCGGACGTTCTGGACGAGTTCCAGCCAATGGCGGAGCTCCACGTGGAGTACGGGGAGCACAGGAAGGTGAGGCACGGGGCGGTGCTGACGCCGGAGTGGACGCAGGAACCGCCGAAGGTGAGACGGCATGCAGATTGGCAATTGCGTGTGGGCCCTGCAACAGTTCTCATCCCTGTACAGCGGAAACGGGAGTACCTGGGGCAAAAGAAGTTCTTTGATAGAAAAGAGTGCCGCGGCCTCTTCCGCAAACAATGACACAATCAAAATTCTGAAAACCTAAAACCCAAAAACCAGAACAGCGAACCAAACTTGCTGCGTCTTAGGAACTATCAAGGTTTGAGAAAGCGAGTGTCGATGAGGTTCAAGGCGTTGGATTCTCCCGTGACCTTTAGATGACAAATCTAGATGCTTCATCAATCTGCAGCCCTTGAACCGAACCGGATACTGCGTCTGCCATTGCCAAGACCAGGCGCTTTTCCCTTTTTCGCCAACGTGGGCGCTCGACTTAGCGGGTTGCACATGTCAGATAGGCACTATGAGTTTTTGCACGCAATCTCATCACTACTTCACCGCTCGACTGGCTCCTCTCGGCTGTGATCAACGCATTGCGGTCGAAAGGCTCCCTAACGGAAAATCAGGACCGGTAGTGCCAGTGCTGAGGCCGATCTGAGAGGACAGAGCAGCGTATGTGCTGCAAGGGTGTGCGTATTAAAACCAATCGTGGGATTTGTCCTGTAGTGTCAACCTTTATAAGTGCCGCGGCTTCTCATGACTCTGACTTTTTTCTGGATGCACGGCAAAAAGACCTCATCGAAGCTTGTGATCTGAGGTCTGCTGTCCTTCGATGTTAGGACTTGCCGGGACTAGGCGGTGCAATGTTTTCTGTTCTTATCACGTTCTGGCAACAGCCTCGTGCGTTTTAGGCTTATACAACTTTCTTTTACTTCTCGAGCATATTCATACGTTCTGTTGTAGATACCCGTTTGATCGTATTACTACTGTATCTGGATTCTGAACTGGAGTAAAACCCAAGCGACGCAACAATCTAGGCTCTTCAGCGCGGGCTTCAAAGACGAACTGGCAATGTAATGATGGATCGAATTCTGATCCTTTCATATTGCCAAAGCTTGACCGTACATGACACGGTGGTTATAACGCACCACAGAAGCGCCAATATTTCTTGGTTCTGATAATCTCCTGACGTCCATTTCTTCAGGTCAGAATCCCCGGCGGCCTCGACCCGGACGCCCGTTTCACGATGGTGATGACGAATCAAAAGCCGCTACTCTTAGAAACGGTTGTCTGGCATACTTGTAACAGGTGGAGGTCCCCGGCGGCCTGGACCCGGACCCCCCGCGGCCTGAACCCGGAGGCTCGTTTCACGCTGGTGATGACGGATAAAAGACCGTCACTCTTCTAAACGATTGTCTGGCACAATAATTGAACAGGTGAAAGTCCCCGGCGGCCTGGACCCGGACGCCCGCTTCACGCTGGTGATGACGGACCCAGACGCCCCCAGCCCGGCGGAGCCGCGCTTCGCGGAGTTCTTACACTGGATGGTCGCCAACATCCCGGGGACCGCCGCCACCGACGGCAAGCGTAAGACGACCGAAATACATTCTTTTCGTGGATTCCTTGATTGTGTCAAAAAATTTGCGGGATATCTTGCGTCCGCTTTCCGTACACCGTTGAAGAAGCTTGGGCGTTCTTCAACGGAAGATTGTTGCGTCAAGGACGGCAAGCGTGTGACGCCTTCTTTTCGTCTTCCAGGATATGGAAGTTTTGAAATCGCTTCAAGAGGTGTGCGAGAGAGTTGCAGAGAATCGGCAGAACCGTGTGGTTGAGAGGCGTCTTCAGACTCCGCGTCTTGCACCGTTGCGAAGGGTTTCGAGCTTCTGAGATCCTTATTGAGTGTTGCGTCCCGTGTTTTAGAGAAAGAACGGATCGTTTTATGCAGCGTTGAAAACAAGTGCAGGGTGCGGTAAGTTTCTGAGAGCCGCTTTCCTCGCTTTTCGACCCATGATACAGATCCAGCTCATCATTTCTTGGCTATCTTACAATCGCACTGTCCAACTCAGACGTTTTCCTGTTTGCGCATTGGAACAGAACACTTATGAGCAGATCCCCTACTTGTCGCAAGTTATGAGGACGTCTGAGCCCCGTGCTTCATTCTTCGACGCCCCAAAGAAGTTCGATTGCTACTGGGAAAGTAATCGTGCAGAGCCGATTGCGGAAGTCAGCTGGGAGTGCTCGTGAACCGACGTACGCCGGCGCACAAACAAAAGCTTTTGTAGTGGTTGTACAAGATTCGTTCACAAAGTTCAACGGCCCGTCCAAACGGCTTGATGAACAAAGCTTGCCTCGGGCTGCATTGAGGGTGCGATATCAGAGTCGTCTCCTCTTTGCCCGCAGCTGGCCGTCATCCGCCGCCGGACCTGGGCGGCAGCTACGTGTACGACCGTCCGCCTCTTTGGGTCATCGAGAAGCGCCTCTGGCAGGGTGAGAGCGGGGCAAACCAGTGACGCTGGTCTGAATCTTGCGGCACTCTTCAAGGCTGCGCGCGCAATTCTCTGTCATCGAGGCGGGCGAAGAACATTGCGAGCAATGGTGCGCCTCGAGTTAACAGTACGGCTGGCTTCAGTGTGAGAAACACACCGTGTCCAACTTGTGACGGTCAAAAGCGCCTCAAAGATCTGCTAGCGCAGGCAGACGCCCCCTTCTAGCTCGCAAACTTCAGCTTCATGTCTCTTATCTTGAGAAGTGTCATCTCGACACGTTCTTTGCAGTATGCACACGGTCAGGCCCGGCCCAAGAAACGCAGACTGAGACAGCGACTCCGCGCCTGGTCCTCTGTTGTTCAAATGTCAGGTGCTCTTCTTTGGTCGAATTGGATTGCCCGCTTCAGCTAGCTTCCAGGTCTGGCTTAAAGTGAGCGCCAACGAGTCCACACTTGCTGAACAGAAAGGTGGTACTGATTATTGACAGGAGGAAAGACGTTCCAACGCGGTTGATCCCATCCTCTTCTGCAATACTCGGATGTTCAGATGGGACTGGCGAATTACACGTATCTTCTCGGAAACGAACGGGAAAGGTACCGAATTTCGTCTATTGGCAATAACGTTTCTACGAGCTGGATGTCTTCGGTGCCAATCCTGATGCTTCGGACGAGCGATCTGCAGGCTCAACTCCTTCAATGGATGCACCCAAGCAAACCTGACCAGCGATACCTCCAAGCTTGAAGTAAAGATTGACCCTTCACTTTCTAGATTGGTTTTGGAGAGTCTGCTCTTGAGACTCCGGTTGAAACTCCTGTACTCATCTGATACTGGGGTTGCTCCCTGTGCAGACATCTCGAGAAGCGGCGACGTCCTGGTGCCGTACATGGGCCCCGCCCCTCCGACCGGACTGCACCGCTACGTCTTCGTCCTCTTCCGGCAGCCACGCAAGGTGCGTCAGCATGACCCTGAAGGGGTTTGAGCAGGGTTTAGCGCCGGTGCTTAGTGCGATGGGCGAGCGAGCGCGGGCGCCTGCTCGTTTCGCGTCACGGAACCACGTCGATGCAGGGCGAAATTGGATCCCGAACAAAAAGCATTGGGCTTTAATTTCAGTCTCTGAAGGCGCCGCAAAATCCACCCTAGAGGGTTGACGAAGGTTGCAAGCTCTGGAACGTGACTTTTGCGAGCTCTGCGTGGAGAATGGAAGGCAGTCGTTTTGCCTCTTTCTATCAGGTGAATCGAGCCGTCTTTTCTCCCACACAATAAACCACAAATTCCTGGCTCCCAACATTACTTCCAATTCTCTGTGGCATTCGTATCATGACCACGTTCTCGAGCAATTCTGCTCACGAACTTGCTCCCTCTAACACCGCAGCTGCCCCGCGAGCACGTGGCCCCCCTGCAGCGGCCTAAGTTTCGGACGCGCCACTTCGCAGAGCGGTATGGCCTCGTGCCCATCGGTGCGACCTTCTTCTCAGCGGAGAAAGGACGGAGGGCCTAGGCCGCAGCGCAGGACTAGCTGAGGTTACGGTGGGGGATCCCTCATGTAGGTTGTGAATAGCCAACAACCCTCATGACTTGAGACGAGCTGGTGGTAAAACTGACAGTGGTAGGCGAAAGAGAAGCAAGGTCGATAGAAGTACATGTAGGAGCTCCGCAAGCATACCTGTAGTGCTCGTAGGCAGACCTGCCCTATACTTGTGTATGATCTCATGATAGTATAGACGAATTGAATGACGTAGCGTACGGGCAATTGATCATCATTCGGATGCCAGATGGCATGTTGGCAAATGTACGCAATTCGATCATTGGCCCGGACGTGGCGCGGCCGCGATCGATCAAGCATCATGGGCGGTTTAATTAACCATGCATGGCATTGATGCGCGCACCTACTTGTCAATACCGCGCCGCCATATCCTGGTCATTGTCGCGTGAAGTAGCCTGCACGCGGGCGGCTTTATCATGGGCACGCAGGCGCGGCCATGCTTATACTGATTTGTACATAGAGCCATCGGCATGCGCCTGTTAAATTGTAGACCCGACCCGTCGGCCATGCACGTACCGGCCCTCACTCGAAACTGCGCGATCGGATGCATGCCGCGTGAGATCATGCTTATCGGAACAGCTATAAGCGGCCTGCACTGCAAGGTACCAATGGCCAATTCGTACTCGCAGCGCTTCACATTTAATATGATTGCCTGATCGAATTGCGCCGTTGCTTCCAATGGGATGTAGCATATTCTGCAGCCGCAATGATATGCATGCAACGCGCAGGCCCCGGGCGATTCGAGGACATCCGCTTGAAAATGCGGTCGGATGCACTCGTGAAGTACCCCACCATGATGAAGAAGTTGTGCGTATCCAGTATACAATTGTAAGCCGCCAGGCTCGGATGCGACAAAATCGTGTCCAGCCACCTAGACATAATTAGTAACAAATTTCAGGCTTTATTCAACGCAGTTTAATGGTCTGCAAACGCAGAACGTCTATAGAAAGGTCGGAACCGTTTCGACGGAAAGCCTAGAGGCTCTTGAACAAGTCCTTTGCGGCAGCAATCGTGGCATCGACGTCCGCTTCCGTGTGCGCCAGCGACGTGAAGCCGGCCTCGTATTGTGAGGGCGCGAAGTAGTGTCCCCTCTCGAGCATGCCCCGGTGGAACTTGGCAAACTTTGCGGTGTCGCTCTTCTTGGCGTCCTGGAAGTTGTTGACCGGGCCCTTGCAGAAGAAGAAGCCGAACATGCCCGAAATGTGGCCCCCGCAAATGTCGTGACCCGCCTCCCGGGCCGCGTCCAGCAGCCCGTTGATCAACCGGCCCGTGATCCTGCAAAAGAAAGGAACGGTCGGTGATCAGGCAATTTTCGGAGTGATATGAAGTGGAGAACACTCGACGCAGTCGTTACTGAGAGGCTCTGTTTGATTCTGATTGCATCTCATCGGAGCCTTGGCCGGGTAGCGCTGCTTAGGCAACCAGACCAACTACCACAACGCCAAAATCTCAACCCCGCTTGAAGCTTGCCTTGGCAAGCAGGACAACGACCAGAACCGATTGCTGGCCCATGGACTCGAAAGACTGATCGCTTTTTCGAGGTCTGTCTGGCACACGCCCACGAGAACCACTACTCTTCCGCATTTGTCATCCCCACCTCACAGCAGCATACACCGGCAACATCAACCCCTACTCCCAATCCAAATATGCTGCTTGCTTTTCTTCAGGGCAGCTTCCGAACAACGACTCCTAACCCGTTCCTCGTCCTGCCTATTGGCCAGGTCGGCCTTCCTTGCCCCAGCCCCGCCTGAGCCTCACCTGTCTAGCTGCTCATAGCTGCCCGGCCGTTGCAACCGCTCGAGCGTCTTGATCCCCGAGATCATGGCGAGCGGGTTGCCGCTGAGCGTGCCCGCCTGGTACATGGGCCCCGCGGGCGCCACCATCTCCATGATCTCCCGCCGCCCGCCGTACGCGCCCACCGGCAGCCCGCCGCCGATGACCTTGCCCATCGTCGTCAGGTCGGGGGTGATGCCGAAGTGCTCCTGCGGAAAACAAGGGGAACGTCGCTGTGAGACGCGTCTTTTGAAACCTAGGAGAAAGACACGAGAGTGGCTTGAGAATATTGTTATTGGTTTTGTTAGTGAGGTGGGTCGCCCAGGTCGGACGCCATGCTGAGAGGCTGACGGTTACCGCGGCTTTCCGCCGCCGGAGTGGATGCGTTGGACTGCAAACCAAATGTGTTTTTTGCCATCCTCGGTGTCATACTAGCCAGCGCGCGGTGCCTGTTTCCGGCAGACATCCTGATGCGCAGGGCTCGCAACGTTTCTCGTGACGTGCTTTCATGATTGGATGCGACCACTTGTCCTCAAGATTCCCAGCGTCAAAGAGCCAGCACGAACCTCCACTATCCTGATGCCAGCTCAGTCCTGGTCTTGCGAAAAGGAGAACCCCACGAAACAATGTGATATGTGCTCTGTCGAGACCAGAGTGCTCGAAGGTAGGTGCCACCCGTAACTGCTTGTTTCCTGAAAACTGCTACCTTAGGAAACGCAACAAAGCAGATTGCAGCGAAAATCGCAACCCATTCCAACTTGCGGTTCGGCTTGTGGGCACCAGTTACGGCCCCCCTACACCAACTCCGAGTGGAATTTTTGATTCCGCACCGCTAGCGCGTAAAAGCTGTTTCGGCGTCACCTCCCCGAGGGCGTGCTGACTAGTTGCGCATCCCTGAGCTTGCGGCCCTCACCTGCGCCCCCCCGTAGGCTATCCTGAAGCCGGTCATGACCTCGTCGAACACGAGCAGCGCGCCGTCCTCCTTCGTCAGCTCCCGCAGCCCCTCCAGGAACTCCTTGTCCGGGATGATGAACCCTGCAACACATTATTGGCGTGAGAGGGCGGAGAAATACACCCTGCAACTTATCCACATGAACCGCCACAGCGAGCGGAGATTTTCCGAGAGCTCTGACGGCAACATAAAATTGTCCGCTCAAGAAGGCAGGAATGGCAGAAAAGGACTGCACAGCAACCGGACTCGGCCTTGAAGCTCGCCCAGCTACATGCTAACTACTTCTGTCTCAAACCTGGTTGCCTATGACAGTTCCGTCGACTGTCTCTTCCAAGCTCACAATCAGGAGTAAGCTATGGCAAACTCATTTAGAGGACAGTGTGTCTGATGGTTTCATGCTTGGCTTGACTGCTGATCCAGGAGGGCTAGGTGAACTTCTGAGAGTCAGGTTCGCTGATGTTGTGGCCAGTGCCTTACAACTGAGACAGCACCGACAATGATGTGTGCTTTCGTTGCCTCTAACCAGGGGATAAAGTCTGACAGGGTGAAGAGGGGGTAAAATCAGATAATGTCACGTCAAGCCTTCACACAATCAGACTACTCGTTGTCACCTGCCACCCCCTATCAGAACCTTGATTCAATCAGAACCTCAGCATAGGCTGGGAGCAGCGGAGCTGATTCCCCAGTCAGTCCTCCACGAGCGGACCCAGATCTTGTACGACTAGAGGCGCCCACCAACCAGTCGCCACAGGACCCTTCTAACCCCCACCACGGGCAAGTGCCTTGACCGCTCTATTCTGAGTTCCAGGCTCAGCAGAGCAGCCCAAAAAGTGTCTGGTCAGTGGACTCGATAAGACAACTGTCTGCGGAACAGTCGCCTGATAATCCACAATTGAATCAGCCTAATAACAGTCTCGGGCAGAACATGGAACTTTGCGGGTGCGGTGCGTTCCTGACCTGAGTTGCCCACCACTGGCTCCAGCACCACCGCCGCGATCTCGCCCTTGTGCTGGCGGAAGATCTCGCGCACACTCTCCAGGTCGTTGTACTGTGCTACCAGCGTGGCTGCCGTTGCGGCCTTGGGCACACCGGGGGAGTCGGGCAGGCCCAAAGTGGCGACACCGCTGCCGGCTTGCACCAGGAACGAGTCTGCACAACACCAGGGCCAGGAACTTTGGAGCTGTCCAGGAAAGAAAGTAGTAAGAGAACTCGTAGTTGCAGGAAGAAGGTCAAGAGGGTAGGAGCCCTGTAAAAGCCTATGAGTGAACTGTGATCTCAGCCGCGTTGCGGAGGTTGACCCACTCATGGGCCAGCATAGACCAGCGACACGTTTCGCCTGATGCAATTGGCTTCCTGTTTGGGTTCTGGTGGACGCGCCTGGTGGCGATTCCAACGCTTAGTTGCCAAATCCTCATGAGACGATTCTTCCGTGCAAGTGCTCTACTCTGAGGTATAGAAGCAGCGGCCAGCACTGCTGGTCCAAGAAGCTTGTGTCATCAGAAGCGGAAGATCCAGACTTTTATGAGACTACCGAGGATGGCCTCCCTGAGCTTCCCTCTCGCAGCTTCGCTCAGTGATGATTAGCTGCCTTCATGCTGGCCTCTTCTGCTATTTGAAAAATTCACTTGCCCGACTTCTGACATTCGGATGCGGCCCACAGTAGGTGGTGATGTCAAGACCCTGAAGTTGGCCTGCTCCATTCACCGACAGCTAAGCGTGCGGTGCATATGTAGATTGTGTTCTGAAACAGTGTGAAAATTTGTCACAGGCTGACTAAGCTGCAGCCCTTGCCCACCTTACAATTACTGACCTCACCATCACTGACATCGTCACCACACAATTGACCTGGCAACCAGGACAAGCAGAGAAACTCTATTTGTACAATGATTCTCTCTGCAATCTGGGCAAGTCAGTGCAGAGCGGCTTGACTCATACCGTTGCACCAAGCACACGGGTTGTATTCGCTTCAATGCCTCGTGAAACTCTCAAACTGTGCTCAACGGAGTGTCATTCTCGTATTAGAAACCGTGGAGCTTGTGACTGACCTGCGTGGCCGTGGTAGCAGCCCTCGAACTTGAGGACCTTCTCGCGGTCGGTGAAGGCGCGTGCGAGGCGCAGCATGCCCATGCACGCCTCGGTGCCGCTGTTGACAAAGCGCACCATCTCCACGCTGGGCACCGCGTCAATCACCATCTGCGCCAGCACGTTCTCCAGAGCGCACGGCGCACCAAAGCTGGTGCCCTTCTGCAGCTGCTCCGTCAGCGCAGCAATCACCTGGGCGGAAGGAAAAAAGGCTCAACGGCTTTAGTTTTTGGGCTGATTGAGCATCGGCTGTAGGAAAAGTTGCGAAAGGTGCGAAAAGTGGCTTTCTCTGATATTGCAAGAATTTGTAAGAAGTCGCACTGAACTTGGATAGAATTACATCATGGAGTGCAGATGAGGGAGGCGTGCAGCCAGCTGATGACAAAGTGCAGGTCGACCGAACAACAGTAAGTAAGAACTATATAGCCCCAAGATAGTTTTCTTCGCTTCTTGTGAGGAAAAGAGCACAAGCCTTTTCTAGAAATTTTCAGAACTGCAGAGAGTCCTGTGGGTTTGGACACATTGTTCTGTGAAAAGCCCTGGCCTTGAAAAGTGGTGGTGTGGGTTCAAAGAGGGTTTACTTGGTTCTTAAGCTGGTTTGGATCCAAGCCAAACAGGCAGAGCGCCAGCAAAATTGAGGGAAGGGGTGAACTTTGTTGGAGCAAGTGCCAGCATTGTGTGCAGCATTGTGCCCAATGGAACCCCGAAAAATGTCCCCAAGCAAATATGTCCCTGACCCCGAGAACTTGGCAAAAAGATGTTTTCAAGCCAGGAGAGAATGATTGGTTACCCCTTGAGAATGGACAACCTCAATTACTAAGAAGTAAAAAGGAAGTGTTTCTTTGCAGAATCTCACTACAGTAACAAATTAACATTGCTCTTTTCCAATTCTCCCAAACACGGAATTCAAATTGACTGGGCCCAAAGCGAACAAAGGCAGATCAGTCTGAGATTGGTGCATACTAAAAACAAGCAAAGAAAAGAGGGGACTCAAAAATGTGATGCTGACTTTGTTCCGACAATTAGCAACAGCATCATAAACCCTAATGCTGACTCAGTGGCGCCGGCTCACAGCTTCTCACCTCGTCGTCTGCGTGGCCAATAATGGCCGGCCCCCAAGAGCCCACATAGTCCACGTACTCGTTGCCGTCCACGTCCCACGAGTGAGACCCCTTGACACGGTCAAACACAATGGGCTGGCCCCCAACGGACTTGAACGCGCGCACCGGGGAGTTGACGCCACCGGGCAACAGCTCCTGAGATCAAAAGGACACAAGAGCAATGCTGAGCAGGATTTTTTCGCATGACAAGAGACCGTCAGAATTCTCCCAGCCATCGCTTATGGGCCTTGTGCATCATTAGAACCCCTTTAGAAAAGGAGCGGACAAGGGCAGCAATTTTGCTACCTTCTAGGCATCATAGAAATCGGGTTGCGGCACTTCGCACATCCAGTTGTTTGCACCTAAGATTCCAGGGGGTCACAGGTAATGGTAGATGCAACCACACGACGCTGCTTCGAGATTCTCTGCCCAGGTAACCCTAACATGGTGCCGACAAGGGACGAGTCTGTGTCCCCTGTGTCTATGCAGGGCACCAATTGGCCCTGATTGCATTAACCTCGGAAAACATTTTGGGTCAGTCTAACGTTGGGATTGCACCTCAGTTTTGGCAAGTGTCAGGATACTATCACAACATCGAGCTTGTTACAAGCTGTGGTTCGCTCTCCTGCATTGGTGCCACAATCTAATGATGAGGTTGGCAGCTTGCCATGTCAAAGTCAGACATTGCTAGCTGCTTACAGTTGGTAAACGAACCCGGGTGATTGGGCTAGCTTTACATTCTCAAACATCATGTCTGACGCCACTCGATATTTCTCTGTTAATGCTGCCAAAGTAACTAACAAAAGCTCCCTGGAAATCAGCAAGACAGGTGTGTCCACATCACATCACCAATTGCTCCTGCTTTTCCTGTGAGACTTGTACCGCTACTTAAGCTTGGGAATTCACACCAAAACCCTTACGACTCGCACAGATTCCAGACGCCACTGCATTTCAAAGACGCCGTCCTCGAAATAATGCCAGAGATGCCTTGCCCCGGAAAAACATATGATTACCTTGGCGGCCTTGAAGATCTCATCCGACTTAGTGGTGCTGTAAACCTGCCTCTCTGTGGCCACCGCCATGGAGAACCTGCTGGCGCTTCTCTTTGAAACAAGTCCCTCAATGCTAGCAATTCTGCTGCTGCTTGTGGGGAGAGCGACAAACGGCTGCACGGTCGACTTCTGGGAGCACTGTGAGGCTCCAAGGAGAGAGGTGCTGGTGCAGCCACGCAGGGCGAGGGTGCTGGAGGCCATGCCGAGGGGCAAACTTGGTGCAGAGAAAAACAAAAACCCACTTCCCAGGAAAAGGCGATGATGTTGCTTTGCTTCCTCTTATCTGCGCCCTGTTGCTAAGAAGGGAACAAAGAAATTTCTTCCAACTTCGAACCAACAATTTGCCGAAGGCTTCAGCAGGGACGACTCGGGCTTCTGATTCAAAGTTTGAGAGCGCTAGCTTTGGAAGCGCCTGCGATATCCAAATCTTGGACAGCCAATCAAAAGCCAGATTCCGTGCACTTTTGCTAAAGCATCGGACGGCGAAGCTGTCTCTCGAAGTAAAAGCAGTCGGCGATCGAGGGCTTTGCAAGCTTAGTGACATCGTATCAGTGCTAACCGTCCGATGCAGGGCTCCCCTTACCCATGTTCACGTATGCACTGGGGGAATCATGCGTTCTAGAGCTATAGCTGATTGCTGCAACATGCATATACCCAGTGTATTGCCAGCGCATGATCGACTATAAGTATAGTGATCGACTTGATGTACTGTGTAGCTAGGCAAAAGTTCCGGACTTAAGTTGCACATGATCTTCTCACATGCACGCCACCTACTTCATGTTCCCGGCCGCGTGCGTGTTCCACAACTATATTTCATTGTCAATCATATTAGCTCCCCGTTGCATGATGAATCATGTTAATAACATGCATACTGATATAAGTATCCAAGGCCTGGCGGCGTCCCCGTGTCGGACAATTCGATTATGCGATGTACATCTGAAAAAATTGAACTTCATACGTTGGAGTGGTGATGCAAATCCCATCGTGCGAGTTGACTAAACTGCCCGGGCCTGCCAGCCTTGGCAGGGGATCTGAGATCCAAACATGTATGTTACAAACCTAGCTCTGGCTAGCTTGTTGCCATCCTGCCGCTTGTCATACGAGAGTATAACAGCGCCAGCTCCTATGATGCGCATCAATCAGCTACTAACGGGTTAACTAGCCAGCAGCAAAGGTTTGACTTACTAACGTAAATATTAAACTGTTTTAGAAGCTCAAAATCTATGCGACCTAACATATAAGTGAGTCGCGGAGATGACTCCGACCGAAACTGCCCCTGCTAAGGCCGTCCAGCCGAGAAGACTCGCGCTTGGTAGACTCGGAACGAAAGATACTATCTTCGCTTGAGCTTTCGTCTGGAGCATGTCTTCCAGCTTCCCTAATCGCACGTCTAGGCTTGCGAGCTTTGCGTCGGTTGCATCAGCGACGCACCTAAGGGACCTAAGCTCCTTCAACAGGGTCTTTAAGTACCAAGCGTCCGAGTCCTCACCCACAATCTCGTTGTCGGAGAAGGCATCGTCTGGGAAGGACTCTTCCGTAACATCGAAGTACTCCTCCGAGTCGCTGCTATCGCCAAACATGCCCACTTTCTCGCGGCATATGACATTTAGCATGTGCAGCCACTCCACAAAGGTCTTCTTCGCTTGCTCCCCCATGAAGTTTTCCATCATGGCTGTAAACGACAGCGAAGGCAGCAGGTTAGAGAAGGGGAGGCCTCTTCCCGGAGTTCGGAATGCCAAACGATCGACATCTAAAGTTGGCCCGAAAGAAACATTGGTGCTACGATGCGGAGAGGCCGCCTTTGTAAACGATGACTTACCACTTCTCACTTGTAATTTTGACTTATTCACATCGAGCTTGCAGCATGAGAGAAGATCACCAGAGTTAACCCAAGTACTAGTTTGCTTACTGCTGTAAGGATTCTTCTTTCAATCGATGCTCCTGTTATCGTCCAAGAATGTGCGGACAGGAGTGGGAATAAGGGCCAAACCTATTTGTGCGGGTATCACGTTGACCGGGGCTACCCGCAGACAGCCCCAGTCGCACCAAAGAATTTCATCAATTGAAACCTTTTCGTTGCTTCGCCTAATACACCTTGCGCTTCTTGTTCATACATATGATGAAACGGTCCTCAACGAAGAACGGACCGAGTTTTGGAATTGAAGGCGACTCAAAGAAGGGCAAACGTACGCGTTCATACAGCACATCCATTTTCAATTCAAGGGACCACCAACTCCGAGGTGAAGCCGACATTTCGAAATCGAGTCATTACGTGGTCAGGCGGTGTGCTTACATCCGAGCGGCCAGAGCGCGCACTCCATTCGTGCCACCATGATGATGGCCGTCCCCGGTGTGTCCCCGCCCGCCGGCCGCAGCTCCACTTGGCCCCCCGTCTTGAAGCGGTCCCCCCCCGGGAGGTCCAGCCGCGGCACTGACTCTACGATGTACAGCTCCTTTGTCTTGTGCGTGATGGCCTGCTCCTCGCGCACCCGCAGCGTGTCTGCGCCTGCGACAGCAAGGGTATGACTGATATCCAATCGTCTGTCAAATTGCCTGTATCGACATCAAAGGTCTCCCTTCAATTTGAATCTTAAGTCTGTCTTCTTCTGAGCAAATCCCTACGAGAAGTTCCGTCCAAATTCTTCTAGCCTTCCAACAGACGTCAAGCCCTCCGCGAAACTTGGCTTGAACGGTTGCTCCCACAATCAGCAAGATGGATCCTGGTGTAGTGCACCGACATATCCGCACCGATATTCAAGGGTCAACATGTGGTGTCCGCACACCTTGTTCATCTGAGAAGTTGCTGAAAACAACTGCGTCAGCCCATCTAGCACATCAACAAGAACTGTGGTCCAACCCAACCATCATGGCAAGAGCATCAACAACCAGAACGCTGATGTGGAGATTTCGAGATGTTCGGACGCACAGTAGTCACATCAAAAGAGACACCAGCGTATGCTCTATCAGTGCCACTTGGCGGTCTCCGCAGCAGTTCTCACCAACACACTTTGCGACAATGGCGGGGGCGTTGACGGGCGTCTGGAAGGTGACCACCCTCGTATCATCCTCACTCCAGTTGGTCGCCCGGGCATCAGCATCCCCATTCACCTCAGTGTGATACCTGAGTGGCAGAAAGCAGGGTCAACAACTCTGCTCAAAGGCACCTCTCCTTTTCACAAGCTCTGGTCTCCTTGCGCAGAGTAGAAACTTCTTCGCAATTGGTGAGATGTTGGCTCAGCTGCTGGGGCCCCTTCCTATCTGGCTGAGGCCAAAAAGCTTCTCAAACATGTTGACCCCATGCTCAACAACGCACCCGTTAAGATTTGAAGTCATGCAAGCAATGGTATTATCTGCTCATTTCATGCAACATAACAATGGGAAATACGAGCCATGCTAAAAGAACAGGCGAAGCAAATTTGAGCTTACCGAGTAAGGAAGTCTTTGTCGAAGTACAATATCTGAAACACCACCTGCACAGCGTCCAGGATGGGAGTTGAGAGGTAACACTAACAGTAGCGTTAAGCATGATGGATGACTGATCTAGTGCCCATTTCAATTTGCTGCATGATCTTGTGTAAGAAAAGGCCCCAAAGCCAGTGACTCGTCTCTAAGGCAACGCTCACCTCTGGCGGGACGCCGCTGATCTCAGCGGTGAACGTGAGCTCCTTCATGGCAGGAAGGCGCTTTACGAAAGGGGTTTCTTAAAGAATTGTCCGAGCTGTGCAGCTATTGTTCCTTCCGTGTGTCCTGCCCTCTAGCATTTAACACAATTGCCTCAATCGCAGCGGCTACTTCTGTAAACGTCCCACATCTCGCATGCCCTTTGAAAGCGAAAAGACGAGACAGACCACAACCTAAAAGGGCTCTGCCAGCCCTCTATTTCATATGCTGGGTGCTGCTCTGCGCTACCACGTTGAACTTGTAGTACAGCGGCCAGCCGCAATGGCGGCCAGACAGGAAAGGCCCTCCTGAGTCCTGCTCTTGTTTCGTTCCTGGAGTTTTGCTTGACCGCAAACCCTAAATTTGTCGACATCGGAACAGGGCCTTTATTTCGACTTCGATACAATTGTCGAAAGCGACGTAGGGAGATAGGGCGGAGCAGCTGCACGATACGAAAGGTGGAAATCTTTGATCAACAGAGGGGAAGGATGCCTGATGGTCGGATGACATCCGCTATATGGGAACATTCACTAGCTGTTTGTTACAGGTGAATCGTGATTCAGAAGGTGCTTCCACAATCCAAATTGCCAGCACTGTTCATGACGTCCCCATGCATGGCCGCCAGCAACAGATGGTGAAGTGCGACGTGCATGTAAAATTGTGCGGCATCTTTGGGCGCCTGTTGACTCTCTCGCCTTCTGCTTCTCCTTAGAGATCTGGAAGCACCCAGTGAACATTAAGCCAGGGGATGGCAGCAGCGCTGGGTGGCCATACGTGCGTCCAAGCGAACCGCTGGAAAGTTTGCTTCAAAGTGCATTTATGCTCTGAGTCTTAGGTTGCGGAAGGAACGTAGAGAGGTTTGTGCACTTGTCTACACCCTCGCAGCATTATGCGACATTGGTCTACGAGGGTTTGTCATTTCTTGGATTGCACACATCGGGGTGCTCATATACTGTTCGTTGGCAAGTACCATATGCATAGGCCTAAGGTTGACTCCTTATCGGGCGGCTGAACCGGTTGTTGGAAGCAATCTGTTTGAGAAAGGAGGACACGTGAGCTTTAGGAAGGCCCTCTCTGTTGGCCCACATTCAGCCAGATCCTGCTGCCCAGCAACGTGGATTCCAGGCGGCCTGATTGCGCAATGGCCACCTCTACTTTCTCCTGCCCGGACCTGACTGACACACAAAGTGTAAATCTGGAGGCCATGAGAAGCAAGCTGGCAACCCGTGAGTCCCATGCTTGTGCAGACAACTTGCAGTCCTTTCCTTCCCTCTTGTCAAAGGGACAGCGGCCACAAATGCTCCATGTGGTGATGCTTAGCAGGTGCTCCTAGGGTGTAACTCAAGTAGTGGCAATAATTTGTCGTTGGGTCATTTAAATGGCTTGCGGGATTCTGATAAGGCTGGAGGAATCAAACAATCCTGCAACTCCCTCTTTGGCCCACATTTGTTGGTCAATTCTTTAGGACCGGTTCAGTTGATGGGGCTGCATGGCATTTGGGTGGCGTCAAACCCCCTGCACGGCTGCTGTCGATGATCATTATGCAACTGGGTGGGGCAAGTGCTGAAAAGGGGGTGGGTAAACCCTTAAAAACACAGCACCCTGTGGGGAAAGATTCTCAATAATCATCGTTGAGCCAAACCTTAATGACATCTAATCTTCTTCTTTGCAGTTGATGAGGCCTTTCAAGCATCTTTTGAGGTGGGTTTTCCTTCCATCACCTGCCTTGGGATGGCTTCAATGACCTCAGTCCACCGATGGCCCCGTTTTTGGCCCATCCAATTAAGCTCCAGTTGGCAACGTGCCCAGCTTGGATAGCAGCATTCCAATGTGTGAATTCTTGAAGCACGTCACTAGAGTGGGCCCCTTGCTGTCACTTGAGGCTCCTCTTTCTGTCCTTACTCTAGCGCCGTCCCTGTGGCAGGTCCTTGCGCAGGGCGAGCCTGACAGGAGCCTGATGCGCTTCTTGTGGGCCAGGGAATGGCACGTGGACAAGGCATTCAGCATGGTGAACACCACAGCCCAGCCTCCCTGTTAGCTTCCTGACAATGGACAGTCGTGCTCTGCTTCTTGAAAGATTGTGTATCACTCCAGCGTTGACTTCCAAGTAGACGAGGGAGCTCTGATGGACGAACTCCTTGCTGTTCTCAGACCATTCATGTCGACCTGTACTGCCCCTTGAAAGGAGAGTTGAACCCACTTACCTCTTTTCAAGTCTATCCGAGGCACTTGCGATAATCTTGCCCTCCTTGCACCATTGCATTTGACTTGCAGCTTAGCAAACTACTCTGTCTTGCCACCCTAACTAAAGGACCATAATGTATTTTACAGTTGGTAGACTGTCTCAAGTGGCGACGAAAGTATGGCACCGACACAATTCTTCAGGTGAAGCTTGGTACCAGATTGCAATGGGCGTTTTCTTGTGTCAAGTATACGGACAAACCCTGCGCAGACTTGGCTTGTTGACGTGCCTACAAGGGCGAGTGTCTTTGTTGGGGCTAGAAGCCTCAAACTGTGAGCTCACATGCCTTCACATGTCTTTGCTAACTTTGAAATCTTGAGTACATTCCCACAAAGGTTCCTTCTGCCTTTCATACATCCAAGGCAAGGAGGCGGCCTTCCGAAGGATTCCCCTGATGAGCCTTCGGCTTTTTGCAGAGGCCCCTGGAAGAAGCGAAAATGCGCGCCATTCGAAATGGTTTTCACGTGGGAATGTCCGGCTATGATAAGCAGGTGCGTCCCGTTCCAGAGCTGCGGGCACAGGTGTTTATGGAAAGCTCGACTCTTTTCCCATGTGAAGAAGATTGAGCTTGCTGAGCTTTCATCTCCGTTTTCAAGCCATTTGCTGGACCTGTCTGTGCAGGGCCATCCGGTGATCTTTGTCAAAGTAGGACCCAGCAAGTGCGGGGGAGCCACGGTGAGTCATACCTCGACACTGCTCGCTGGGATCGGACCTTGCACTCTTAAGCCGCAGTAAGGGCTTTATTGTGCCTCAAGGATAGCCGCCTCCGTGATGACTCTGGCTGTACCCTATGTTTACGTTATGCTGCTCCTGCTTCGCTGAAGGCAGGTTGTCTGTGTGCAGGTGGACGACTATGTCAAGGCACACGTGCAGTTCAGCGAGTGGCGGGACCGTGTGTTGTGTGTAAGTCGCACACTGCCTTACTGAATCCTCTGTCATCAGATCTCAATGCAGAGCAGATGAAGCGTTCTTGACTTCTCTTGGCTGTCACATCGAGTTGGCTGCCCCGCGCAGCAGTCCGAGGTTGCAACTGCTGAAGTTCCAACAAGGGCATGCTTGAGCCGCAAACGACATTCTTGGAACGCGCATGTCACGTGCATCTGTCTCTGGAGAGAGCCTCTACTTTCCTCACGCCTTCACCTCGCCTTACGGCCGGTCCATTGTTGCACGTCGAGAGGTCCCAAATCTCATTCTCTCTCCCCTCGTTTCCTGGTGCCATGGTCGAGACGTTTGCGTTGACGCCCGTGCGCGTGTGCTGCTTGCGCAGGCGGAGGCGAGCAAGCGGTGTGGGCGGCCCATCACGACCACGACGCGCATCCTGGACTGCACCGGCCTTACGCTGGGCCACCTCGCCAACCTCAACGTCAGCGCTTTCTCCCGTCGCACCTTGTCTCATCTCTTTCTGTCTTGCTGGAGTGCAGTGCTTGTCGATATAGAGTGCGGCTTCACCGAGACAGCCGTCAGTTGAGTACTTCGTTGCAGCTGGTGCAGTCGTGTCGTTTTTTATTCGGTCATGTGCGGTGTGCAGCTGCTGAACGCGATGTCCAAGATTGACGAGTTCAACTACCCGGAGAAGGCCAACGCGTACTACTTGGTCAATGTGCCGTACGTCTTCACGGCCATCTGGAAGGTTCGGCCTCCGCCAACATTGCTAGAGGGGCCTCGAGTCCACTCTCTCTTGGACATGTCATGCTTCGCAGGACATGTGCAGAGGCGGTCAGACTGGCCAGTAGGACAGGCAGCTCTGATGGGACAGGTCCGGTGTGACGACTTTGGAGTGGTTGCGTTGGCCATCTGGAATTCCAGAGCACTTACAGGTCCATGTCTGACACATCTTGACGGTTTTATGTCCGGTTCCAATTTGAACGCTCCTGAGTGTGACCAGCTCGGCGTGACTTCTGGCAATCCAAATGACACTTGTTACGGCCTGCCTGTTGAGTGTCTTGCGATATGAAAACCTCACAGCATGCTTCCATGTGCAGGTTGTGAAGCCGTTGCTCCAGCCGCGCACGATCAACCGGGTGAAAGTGCTGTCCGGGAACGGGCTGGACACACTGCGACAGGTGAGCACTGTTGGGCCCGCACAGATGTGACAGCATGTCCCTGGATGAAAAGCAGGCCGAGGAATTCAGAGCGGTTGGCTTGCAGACGCCACGTTTTGTTTCAAACTTGATGCATAGCAGACATACACTTCCATGTTGAATTGTTGAAAGGTGGCTGGCGGCGTTGCCATTGTTGCGTGTGAGGGGTCTTTAGGGCAGCCTCCTTGGTCGACGTTTCCCACTTCGATAGCTCTGAGCGGGGCCGCTCTTTCGTGCCGCAGTTCATCGACGAGGAGCACATCCCGGTGTTTCTGCGCGACCCCAAGTCCAGCGTGGACTGCACCAGCCTGGACTGCTCGCTGCACCGCCGCTTCTGGGCCTACCTCCAGGAGCAGGCCGCCGCGGCGCCCCCTGCTGCGAGGCAAGAGGAGGCGGCGGCGGCAGCGGGGCACGCACACGTGGAGACGCCCAAGAAGCGGCATCACCGGTTCAGCCTCAGGAAAGGCCCCGAGGAAGGGAAGCAAGCCGCAGACAGCGGCGCGGTCGCGCCCGAGCCGAGCCACGGGGCGCACTGATGTGAGCGGGCCGGCAGATGCCGAGGCGTTGTAAATTGTACCATACGAGGTAGGAAAGAGGTATCAAACAAATTACTGGTCTGGGCACTCAAGGTGCCCAGGCCGGTTGATTATTAAGAAGGCTGCTTGTGAGTGCGTTTATGCGAGCGGATGCTTCGCCCTTGCATGATTTTTTGGGACCACTGTTGAGTTGGAGATATAAATTCAGGGCAGATGACCGAACTTGTCATCCTGTATATGTAGCTGCCGAAAAGGGCCATACGTATTCAGTCTGCTTTTCACACTGGATGATTGCAAAACGACTTGAATGTGATAATACCATGCCGGCCAGCTACCTAATCGATCGAAGACCTTATATGCCTACATATGAGCGCAATATATTATATTAGGCTCGCAATCGGATCTGCTAAGTTTTAATGTAGTGGCTGCCATGCAACTTGGCAAGCTCCAATCTGGACGGTGCCAGACGAGGTAGTATGTGATCGCCGCAACATGCGCCGCGGTCATGGGCGGCTAGTTTGTACACGTACATAGTACTATATATGCATGATGCGCGAAACATCTGGCAAGCCTATTATTCAAGTTTATATCAAATTCGAGGACAGTGAACCCGGCGAATATATCAGACCCGTCGAACAACCAATTATCTATCCAAGAAACCACAATATATGGACTGATTGCGTTCAACGTATGGCCGCGGGGCCTGCATGCAATGATAATTAGAGAAGATTTTCTAGGCGGCCGCCTGCAAAGTGGCCGCCCATTGATCAAATTGCCAGCCCGTGCATGGCCCCGCGCACCTACACAAGCTACCTACGGTGGGTCCCGGCCGAGTCAACTCCGACTCGAATCGCAGCGAAAATGTGGGACCCGGTATCAAATTTCGTCAGTAGTACCGGCGGTCCACGTTACGACGACTCGGACTTCTGTAACATGTACGCAACGAGTACTCTCAGCAATTTCCTCGGCCGTAACTGAGTGTCATAATATT